TATCTAAAAAAAGTAGCCTAGGGTCATGCAAATTTATTAGTGAAATGCTTGCCGAAGTAAAATCGCTAATGCGCAATAGATAGAAAGAGATTAATGTTCCCGGAAATCGCTTGGATTTGAGGACATTCTCGACTGTCCTGTCGCAGGCATCGATCGCGCATGCGTGGGAAACGCCGGCGACACTCGGCGTTCTGTCCCGCTAATGACGGACTGGAACGCTTGCTCAAGAGCCGCTCTCCACTACCGCAGTGATGCAAATTTTCCTATGAATACGGAAATTGCACAAGACATTCTCTTCTCGCTGAAATAATGAACTTTCTCTGTCCCAGAACTACGAGATAACCCGTTCTGGTCATTACTTAATTGGGTAAAAAACTGTTAAATTGTATAAAATAAATTAAGGATACAAAATAAAACGAATGATTATATTTTTATTTGCAGATGGCTTTTCACTTCAAGATCATCTTGCTGATCCTGGCTGTCATTGGACTCGTATCTACTAGTACTAGTGCTAGTGAGGGAGAGGCACAAAACTCTGATCACAATAAACTGTCCGTGGATGGCGAGGCTGTTCGTGCAACATCGGTCAACGTCAGTGAAATTTCCAGTAATGTTCCTGAGATGAAAGAGACTGAGACTTCAGTGCCAGACGTGGCGGTGCACGTGTTAATGAAAAGAAGGAAAACGAACCCGAGGCTGCCGTTCCGCAGAAAAGACTTGCGGTCGCAAAGAATGCGGGCGAGATTACGAGTACTTGAGAATGAAGGCAATAATACCAACAGTACGGCAAACTCGCAGGGCTCAAACGAAGTGGAAGAAAATGCGAGTTCTCAATTTGTCAAAAATGAAACATTGTTCGAAGCAGAAAACTTCGATCATAAATCACACAATGTGACTGTTATTGAACTAGAGCCTGCGGACGAACCGAAAAAGTCTTACCGACAACGAAAAGAGTACAAAAGTATCCGAAGCCGCTTAAAAGGTCTTGGTGCAAAAAGGCTGAAAAAGAATAATACAAGTGGACTAAAAGCAGATGATTTTAATCGATCAAGCATTGTTAACGCGACTGAAAATAGATCTAGCAATAGCACATCATCACTAGTCGATGAAGCGACTCACACTTCAGTAGAAAGTAGAACATTTATTACAAATAAAATGGAAGAGGAGCACGTGCCAGAACAGGTAAAACCTTCACCTGGGGGACCAACACCTCCAAAGCAGTCTCCGTCCTTACGAAAAATGATCCGCCGTCCAAAGAAACCGCCCCATGTTCAGGATGACGATTTACAATCAGCATCGAGCTTAGAAGTGAAATCTGTGTTACCTGATGAGTCTTCTTATCCATTATACAAAACTCCACTGACTAAACAAAAAATATCTGGTATGAAATCGAAAAAAATCCTTCGTAGAAGAAAAATTAAATCTCAACAGTCTGAATTCACTAAAAAAAATTCAGAAGGCTCGGCATCAAAGGGCAAGTCTCATTTTTCCGGAAGGAACTCCGCGGCAGTGAGCTTCCAGCATACATACGTCCCTGGTAGATACAGGCCATATAGACACCAGCACCGGTTTCCATTCCAGTATCGTCTTCCTATCGAACCACATCAAACGTCATTCTCTCCCTCGAGTTACAGCTCCCAGTATAACCCTTTACAAAATACCTACGATGTACGACCTCCACCACCGCCACCACCACCATCTCTTTCAGGATATGGACCTCCCAAAGTGCGGCCTTTTTATCCATCGCCCATGCCTGGATCTTTCCCGAGCCAACCACCCATCATGGTACCAGTACCAGGGAGAGGGCAGTTTGGAACTCCTCCCCTTGGCACAGAGCCTCCAACATTCGCGAAACCAATGGCAACGAGGCCCAACATGGTGGCACCCGACGACTCAATAGCAGGAAATTATTATGAGGTCCAGAAACTGAGATCACCGCCTTTGGAAGCAAGTCCCGTCATCATCGACTCAGTTCCTACGAGTAATTTTGTTCAATCTTACCTGAACTTAGAATTTCCTTTGAACGGAAAGCCTCCAATGCTGACACCGAATTTCCTGTCACACCAGAATAATTTAATTTCACAACAGTCAATGATTGACGGTAAGCCTTTTCAAACAAGACATAACACAATTCCGGGCCATTTTCGGAACACTTTAGGGCCTCCGACACCGCCAAGCCGACCTTCGACGCCTGTAATTTCTCCTTCAGGTCCCGTGGCAATTGCACAGCAGTCACACAGTTTTCCTGGCTTGGAAGCGCCGCATCGGACACCGAAAATTCCATCATTTAGAGGAGGCACTCCAAGGCCTTTCAATCCTGATTCCCCTCATGTAACATCTGTTGGGCTCAGTCCATCGACGCATTTCGCCGATACCTCCTTAATTTCAACGAATGGGTTTCCTGCACCAAATTTCAGAGGAATTAGCGAGTCTTCGTTTGGTTTGAAAGAAACCAGCTTGAACGGAATAAATACCATTTCAGAAAACATCAACAACTTCCAGAGTGGTAACGACGAGAATGTCATTCGACCAGAAACAAACAGCAATAGCTGGTCGAATGCATGGAATAACAATCAATTTATATCACATGAAGACTCGGGTCCTTCATACCAAGTTCAACCTCCACCTAACGTGTCAGGAACATTTAGAAGCGAAAATACGACATCGATTCCTGTAAGATTTTCTAGGACCAAATTTCACAACCCAACAGAGACACACACCACCACGACAACAACCAGTGCACCCCTTCCAAAAGATAACATCGATTTATCACAACATGGAAGGAATTCTTTGCCTGTTATTAACACATTCCATCGCTTAAAATTAGATGTACTCGCACCACCTTTCCCATCGGTAGGACCAGAGAGACCAAATCAAGATTCGGGACGCCAGTTCAACGAAAATCATGCATCGAATATATTTCATTTCGATACGTCCACGCAGGGCGCATCTAGTGAAAGTGTAACAACGAGCACGACTACCACGCTGCCTCCCATTATAGAATTGAAAGACTTGCTGTTTACAACTCCTCTAAGAGCAAGCCACCGCCTCAAGGAGCACTCGCTGAAACCTTTTAATAAACCTTCCGGCGAAGTCACCGATGCATCATGGACTCTAGAAACTGCCGAGGCAATAACAACCACCGCTACTCCAACATTGTTTCACTCGGTGAGGTCCTCATCAGACTGGCTATCTTCGTTGAAAACCAAGACGTCTACAAAGATAACACCAACTCCATTAATTAGTTCGTCTGAAACGCAACAGGAAGCAAACCCTTGGAAATCTCAGTCACTCGCAACAACTTTCCTACCGCATAATCAACATCACAGTTCGGGTCCTTTGCACTCATTCGCGATTGACGGACATGAACAATTTAAAGATCTCATTTCAGCAAAGAAAAGTAATAATAACCTGCTCGATTCACTCGGACTCTTGTCGCCACTGGCATCGAAACCCTTGCCTCCGCAGTTGCCAAGAAATTTTGGGACATTTCGAAACCTCATAAATTCAAATGAAGATTTAAACAAGGATTCCAAGAAACAAGAATTTCTGCATCAGAGCCACAAAACGGCAAACGAGCTTCTTAATTCGCATCATGACGGTCGTCTAAATTTTTGGCAGGTCGAGCCCGGACATGAAGTTCACAAAGAGTTTGGGACTTTGCGTGACTCACGACCAGCGAATGAACCGATCTATGAAAGAGAACAGCTTACTGGGCTGCAGGACATGCAGATTAAGGAACAATCACTGCTTTTATCTTCGCCGGCTCCCGCTGCAAGCTTCCACAACGCGCGCTTCAAAGTTGATGGACTTGGACGAGTTCCAGATACGCCGCATTTGGCTCAGCAGGCCTCTGCCATAACCAGTCCTCGCCCACGAGCAGTCCTTGGTACTCAAAACGGACAGTCGTTTTCAGACTTGTCTGGAAATAAATTAGATAATGGCTTTCTGGCAGAAGGTGGAATTCACTCGCATGAAAAATTAACCCCAATTTCTGAATTCACTTTAAATTCATTCGATAGCAGCAAAGAGAGACAAAATAGCGTGCATACAGTTCAGAAGACCCGATCTTTTCCCAGAATTACTATTAACTCTCTCGACAATACAGAAACGGGGAAAGGCACAAATAAAATATCCCAGTTTCGTAGCACCTTACCTTCCGAGATTACCTCAAGTTCATTGGCCAACGTCGAAGAAGGAGCCGTAATTCAAGATGCTGGCGATATAATCTTGCTTACAGGCCAGAACGCTGCGGCAGTCAAAATACCGAATTCGTTACTGGAGGTGATAGACTTTTCGAGGTTCAAGGGCAGGTCGTTCATCTTCGTGCGCAGCAACGGTCATGAATACAGTGTCGTGTTTCCGACGACCGAAGATCAGGAGCAGCAGCTGGAATTGCCTCAGCTATCAGTTCACGATCACCAACTACAAGGACTCGCATCAGAAGAGAATAATTTTCCCCTGCCGGCACCACCGATTTCACCCAACGCGCTCATCGTAAGTGTGGCAAATTCAGCCAACACACCAACAATCGTGAGGCATTTGCAGACCCCGGTATTGAGAAAAAGCTTTGATGGCTGAATATAAAAACCATTAAATTATGTATATTTTTCTAGATAAGGAATTGTTTGCAGACTTCTCAAGAATTAAGCTTAGTGAGCTGTCAAATTCAACAACCAGAAAGTTCCTGACAAGTGACAATCATGAATTAATATTGTATCCACTTAGAGTAAATTTTAAACTGCCTTAAGAAGCCATGATTTTGCAACATGCGTGTTAAAAGCGATCGCTTGTCACTAGCGTATAATTGCGCAATGTCATTTATAACTTCACATAATACGTTTCAGCTCGGACTTCAGTAAATGGAAACCTACGAGCAATAAGCGTATCTTCTTTATTCCTGGAGTTTTGCAGTTACAGTCATTGAAAAAACTCGCTGCTGTGAAAATATTCGGTTGCAATATTTAATAATCAGGGATTTTCTAGAAGAAAACACGAGGCAACGGCGGAAGGTTTCATTTATACCAATATAAGCCAAATGCTCAAGAAAACAATTCGGGACGAAACCTCTTCTTGCCTCTCACTTACATTCGCATGACTGTACTCGGCATTACCTTAAGTCATAATTGAAAAGATAATTTAAAATACATAAACGAAAGGAAGCTCAAATAGTAAACAACTTAGGAACAATATATTGTGCTCGTTGAGTTTAATGGGTTTGTGCACGTAATATAACATCATATTGCGCAGGACGGTATCACACATTCTACTGCTTTGAACAGCACGAGAAATAACTGAATTGCACGACTTAAATAGCACAGGCGAACTGACTTCAGCCTCTTCAAAGTTGTCTTGATTATCACCGACTTATTAAATAATAGTCTATAATATTGAGATGGTGAAGCATGCGGTAACTATAGTCTACTAAATGTCCGGATAAGCCCACAGCGTCCCATGATTAACTACATCTTTGACACAAAAAGAAAATTGCGAGCGAAAATATAACCAAATAGACACTGCAGTAACTATAGTGAAGTGATGCAGTTAAGCAAAAAAAAGCAGCTAACACCGCCAACTACGTTCAACCCTGTGCCTAGTAAAGATGAATGAACTTCATTATTTATGTGCATTTAGGAGTTCCCGTTAAGTTGCGAGTGCAGTCGAAGCGTGTGTAATTAAAGATAAGGAAAGTTACAAAACAAATGAGTCCCTAAATGAGCGCCTAATATTTTGCATATAAGCTTTTTAAAATTCGATGAAATTATGCGATGATACTTAATCGTAAAGTTATAAAATGTTCGTGAATACAAAACCCAGGCGAAAAAGCCACTATTATTTCCTAAACCAATCGTAATACTAATTTTGATTTGATCGATAAAATAACACAATTCCAAGTTTACTTAGAGCATAATAAGTAATTAAGAGAGTAACAAAAAAAAAATATATATATAATTTCAACTGTCGACGATTCATCTACTGGCGTTGGATGCTATAGAGGCGGCGCAGGTGACAAGAAGCCTATAAAGACATGACCACATAATGCTTACTAAACAAATTCACCGACTTTCACGAATTTAGAAGCCGAAGCGTAGAATTCGGACCCAGCATGAAGCACTGAAGAATTTGGAACAATCGAAATTGAGGGCGCCCTCAAGAACTGAAACTAGTTTAACTTAACAATTAACTAATAATAATAGAAGGCATAATGCAACGAAGAAGGGGGAGAATAAAAACTTCACTTGGCATCCTCACAGCCTCAAAAAAAAAACTGAACTTCTAAGAATTGCCGTGATAAGAATTTGTGTGATTAATAGGTATTTGGAAAATGATTCACGTTTCACTAAAGAAAGTCGAGACTAAGGAATAGCGACGGACGAGTATATATATAAGATAAGCAATGAATATGAAGCTTTTTCTATAATATTATCTAGCGAAATAGATGATCAAACAACATATACGAATGAGGCAGAGACTATCATAAGCTACATTGAGGACGGGCTCAGTAATCCTTGCGTAATACTACAGAAAACATTCAGAGTTTTATTCTATAGAGAAATCAGCTTGCACAATTTCATTCATAAAATTCAAGGCACTCGTTTTGAGAAAAAAGCATTCGTCAGAAATATTTCCCAGGTTTACACTTCTTTTGTAGGAAAAACATCGGCAGTGAAATAGATCTGTAGATTAGATTGATAACTCGGGGTGTGGTAGACTGTCGTGTAGATTTATAGATGAGTAGAATGTAGCGGTACAAAACACTGCAGTACAAAACACTATAAGCGCACACAATCATTTTCCCTGTATTGCTCCGTCGCATGCAGCGCCGGCCATCATTCGTCATCCAACTCAGCGTTGCGGGCGGCGATACTGGCTTTGACGTCTTCGTAGGTAGGCAACTCCTGCAAACACAGCAGAACAATCAATTATTACAATTCCATGAACAACTATACTTGAAGCTCGTGGATGCATCGCCACAGAAAATTTAAAACTGATTCTTGAACGATTTCCCAAGCCCAAATCTGATTTACTCATGTTGGACGAGATAAATACAGCATTACAGTGAACAGCTTTGATGGCTCAAGTGATGAATGCTTGACACGCGTCGAGAGAAACCGAATTTATTTGAATGATAATTACTTGAAATGCGTGGCTTATCACTAATGCACAACCATAAAAATGCCGAACATGTGCATTTGTGGGGTTGATTGAAGCTTGATTAAATCGAAATCAAATTTAAATTATTTGATTTCCAACAATAAAGAAGACTTGATCCGATTTTTCATGAATCTAAACTTTTAATGCATTTACACGTACACGTGGCGAAGGAAGTTAAAGAGAGATTAACGTGATAGACCTGAATTTTAAGGAGTTTATGTCAACACTGGAATAAAATTAAATTCAATAAAACAATATGAAGGTACACAATTTACGTTTCTAATGCTTGTTCAGCATCATTAATGCCCTTAAGAATAAAACACATGAGAAATTATGAATCAGAAGGAAGTTCTCGCTCCAGTCCCACGCTCAACAAGATTCGTTTCGTCGGTGTAGAGAAATGAAGAAGCGCCGTTAATAAATATTTACATTTAAAAAATATGAAGACATTTCCATTTCAAGGTCATTAAAACCACATGCGGCAACACGGCACTCAATAAATTGGTCCGAGAATAAAGAAGACACAAGGCAAAGAAGAAGTTAGCGTTCGCAAGAAAAAAACTAAATATTTAGTCAGTGTAAGAGAAGCATGGCGACAAGTTGAAAATTATAAATAAAATTAAAGAACAGGAAGGGAAGAGAATGAATAGGAAGGAGGCATTAACATTAAAATGCGAGTGGGTACTAAAGATGCCACAAAAGACTGGTAAAATCGTGAGAGGCACATTTGTCCTGATGAGTGCCATCATTGTATGACACAGATAATTCAAACGGTTATTCTGAACAGCATTTGAACTCAAAATTTAGCCAAACAAATCCTTCAATCTGGTCTCACGATTGTACGTTGCGGTGAATGAAGCGAGCCGTCAGTTAATTAAACTAGCGTTAGCAGACGACGCCACTCTGTGGAATTAAATGCATATTCAACCCGATGTTCTGCGGGACCACGGAGCTGTCATCCCTGATTGGGTTATATTATAAAATGTATTTTCTGCCGTTTTCGCAGATTGATATTTACGAAGAAACAGTGTGTAGATTATATCGCCTGAACTTGAATTACCGCTCCTTCTTCGATTTTGGTTAATGAACTTGAAGTAATTTCATTGCACTCTAGCAGAGTCTCTTTTATAGACAAATGCACCAGGGAATCTCCTTTCTTCCAGAAGACTCAGAATCCTGGTCAGGTGACGTAGGCAGTTCGGCATTCCAGTCTCTGGCTGACGACCAATCGTCGGGGAAACCATCGACGACACTCAAAACAACTGAAGAATCGCTAGTTCGGTCTTGTTCAAGAGGAGATTTTGGAAGACCAGTGGGCCTGGTGTGGGTGGAGATGCAAGAAGTGGGAGGTGTAGGCTTGACAGAAGTAAAATAAGCATCAGTTTTGGGTGAGGTAGCAACAGCTTCACTGCTACGTCCCGCGGAAAACTTGGAAGAAAAGTTGATCCTGCTGGGAGCGCTGTGGCGAACCCGGGTTTTATTGACGACCGCGCTCTGAGTTGTGCCGAAAAAGCTATCGAGAAGAGGAGGAGGCGGAGGGATCAACACGTTATCAATCTTAGTGAGGTACAGGGGCGTAGCAGAGTGAGAATTTTCATAATAGCGTAGAGTAGGAGAAGAGTTCATGTGAGGCTGAAATAAAGCAAAAAGAAATGCGGAGAGTTTATCAAATACGCATTGTATATAACAAGCATTAATAGCCAAAACATATGAGCATTAATGGCTAGAGTGCAATGAAAAATTAACGAACTAAAAACATTATAAAGAATAGAAGGAATACCTAGTGTCAAGCAAAATATACAGGACATTTTTTGAATAATCAAAAGGAGAAAATATATTACATAGAATTAGAAGAATTATATTGGAAGCAATTGAAGATGCTAATACTACTCTCACTATTTTAACAGCTGTGTCTTAGGATATATAATTCTGAAATACAGAACTCTGTACCGTGTGTCCCTTTTCGGTAGAGCGAGCTTATGCTTAGAGGGAAATCGACTTCCATCACTCCCAACACACAGAAAAAAATCAACACGAAGACAAAGTGAATTTCTAGACAAATTTTTGCATCAAATTACTGTAATAAAATATCAATCTCTCAGTAACCTTTCTTGTTGATTCAATGCAGAATTGCCGAAAATTTCACAGCAAAACATGACTAAAAATCGAAAAAACTACAACACTTAAAACCAGAGTCACGCAAAGTGGCAAAGATGTTGAAGGTGAAAACCAAAGCTGTAAGTTCAAGTTCGTTATGAACAAAGATGGGCATTCCCAATTGATACCATCTCTGGTCGAGAGCAGAAACCGATAAGCAGATTCATGCTCATATGCGGTGAAATAAGCTAAATCAGTGCTAGAAAATCAGACAACTGCGAGCAGCAGGCGAGTGTCGTGCACTTCGGTAAAGCAAAGAGAAAGAGAGTTACCATCAAGCATAGCGAATGGCAATCCTGCTACTTGAAGTGGGAAGGGGTGCAGCTTAAAGCCCCTAAACCTGCAACAAGAGTAAGGGAAGACAAATATTAGGTCCTGACTGATTTTGATATTGATCGGCCAATCGAACACGTATTACGATACAGGGCTCTGTATCGAACGTGTTGAGTGAACTCAGACTCCCACTTGAACCTTACACACACGACCGATGCTCCACCACTAGCAAGCGAATCGACATTGGCTCATTTAGTTCGACAATCTAGAGTTAGATTTTATTGAAAAATCACTTTAGATTGTTGTGCAATGAGTCTGGAAAATTAAGAAAGGCAGCCAAACGACATCGCAGCATTGTGGTCGGAGACAGCAGCGTGGCGAGGGCAATGAATAAGGAGTTGGCAAACTATGATACACCGACACATATTTTTTAGATCCAATCTAGTTAATAACATGGAATAGCAGTACGATACGGCATTATAAGTCCTAAATTTTCTGTGTGAGATGCAATTAGAACAAAAACTAATTATTAATTTAGTGATTTCTGCGAAGCATCGAGTTTTTCAACAGATTAAATTACTTGAAAATTTTTACTGACAGGCTCCCATTTCCAAGTAGAGATCCCACTACAGGCAAGTAAACAACAATAATTTCAACGTTACGAGTTACGCCTTTCGATCTGACATGCAATTAAGCAAATAGCGGAGAATGTAATCAAATAAGCTCATTCCCGAACTAATGTGTAAACGGGTTTTGAGACTTGATAAAATAATAATGAAATAAATCTATTTATTATTATAAATCCTCTCTCCGCATGCATGGACATTGGACAACAATAAACAATGACAAGTTAGCGTAAATATCGTACATTAAAGTTACAAATGAAATACGGAAATTGTTGCACAGGCTGAAGACGAGGGTGAGAATGCTATTTTTAGAACATGAACATAGGAACAAGTAAGAGATTATCTGATATTTCCTTGCATGCATCTGGTGATAACAATCATATATCCTGCTGGTGGGCTTTTCATATAGTATAATACAACTGATTATGATGAGTTAGTTCAAGAGGTGCGTTGAATTAATGCTATGTGAATTTCGACTTCTTTAGTCAAAGCGAGAAAATTTGAATCACTTTATACAGGTCTAGTAAGGGCAGCGAATTCAGCGTGATAAGGCCCAGAGAGCGCAAGAACGAAATGCTCAGAGATAGATTATTGAAATTCATACAGTGTGTGTGTTCTGACAAGCGAACGTTCGTAAAAAGAAAAGTTATAAATATATAATGTATGTTTGCGAGTTTTCTGACCGAAACGACATGCCGAGATTACTATGGATGAATTTATTAAGAAACGAAGGGTTTGTTCCTCCAATTGTAACAGGCGGAAACGGAACATTTCTGGAACCATATGGGAAATTCTTGCACCAAGAATTTATTTTATTTATTTTTCAAGAAATTTTTGAGTGCTTCATCTGAAACGAAGATTCCGATAATTGGAAGAATCCCGGCGTAATCTTCAGGTACTGAACCTGAAATTTCATTTAATGGGAAAATTTCATTCCATGCGGAAATTTCATTCAAAGTGATTGACCGAAAAGAAAACACATGATCATCAGGTCCCAAAAATACTTCCGTGCTGAAGGGAATAATAATAACAGTTTTTATAAAGAAAGAAAAAACTAAGCATGAACGCAGCGCATCAAGTCTCACCTCCCACATGTTGGGGTTCCAGGAGGGGAAGATGCTGGTGAAGGCAACGGGTTCCTCGCCCTGGTTCACCCTCAGGATCACGGTCTTCTCAAGGGACCTGTCCGTGGGGTCCGTTTTAACGTAGTCCTGGAAAAAATAATTCAATACAGTAACCATTATTTCAACATTTAACAGGATAAACCACCTCCGCGTGGTCTATTTTAAAGCGGTCCTGCAAATAACTACCCTTTTTAGTTAACATTATTATAATATCTAACAGGATAGAAAACACACATACGAAACAACCCCCCTTCCCCCCGAATTGTCAATAAAATTTCACCTTGTTCCGACTTGAAACGGAACCACAAAAATTAATTTGAACGAAATCAGAGACAATTTCTACACGTAGTTAGATATAACTACGCGTAAAGAAACTCGTGTACTATCGCTTGGCGGGCAGCAACAAGTGGAGGAAATAATCGGAGTAATGTGAGTAAAGGATGCCACTCACCTGGGCCATCTGCCAGGACTTTTGTTTTTCCTCATCGCTGGATCCCTTGCCGATCCAAACGTAGATTTCATCTCCCGAATCGAGCACCATGACGTCATCTTCGTTCAGATCCTGAGGGATTGAAGTGAGTTCAGTAGTGAAGGCAGCAAATAGAGAATTATAAAGAAAATTAGGCTACATGGAGGAGATAAGACTTTGAATGAGCCTCAATGAAAAGAAGAATTCGGGAAGCGGTTAAAAAATTCCGAAATCGTACCTAAAATTTTAAAGAGTTTTTGTACGACAAGGAGACATGATAAAACCGATTAGCAATACAAGTACCTATTACTCAACAGACATTCGAGCCTACTGACAAAGATCAATATTCGATGATGCGACTCAAAGTCTTCGCGGAGTAAAGAGACATTTTACTTTACTCGAAGTAAATCATCCAAAAATAATCGACCTGGAACTTGGTCCGACGTACCTTTTGAATAGAACACCCAGCACCTCCAAGTTCGCATAAACTGCATTTGCAAATGGCACTGCATTTGCTTTGACGACACCACCCGCCAAATTCAAGTCGCCCGCCCCAACACTAAACATTTAACCATCCTGCACGCACCTCCTGGTTGAAGAGCGAGACTTCGTTGACGCGGAGGACGCCAGCTGGCGACACGCTGCAGTGGAAGAGGCGAGGCGACAGCAAAGGCGTGTCCAGGTCGCGGTTGGTCTGGTAGTCGCCAGGGCCGCCCAACGCCGACCAAAATCCTTCATCCTCTTCACCCTCCGCGATCGTGACTTTCGGTCGCCCGGGGGATACGAGCTCGCAAACATTCTCCGCCATGGCCTTTTCATCGTCACTTGCTCCCTTGCAAGTATAAGTTGGTGTTATTACGCAGGAGATAATGAATACTTGAGCAGCCAAACGTTGGGTGCTTTATTATTATGAGGAGCAATGCAAACTCTGGTAATGAAGAAATGTGAACAAAAAACAAAAACGTAAAAAGCTCTAATTTGCATGAAAATTTTTTTACAGGGTCCTCGACTAACGATTTACTTGATAAATCAAAGTTTAGATCACTTACTTTGCCGATCCAGACGTAAGTTTTGGCAGGAGTCTCGAGGACGAAGACATCGTCGGAGTTGAGGGAGGCGGTGACCTCAGGGCGCTGTTCCGCCCGTACGTCGTAATCGCATGTTCCTCGCACCTGAGAACACGCGGCCATATTATGATTGAAACATTAACTGAAAATTCATTACTCTTTTTCTAGGTGGTTGAATTTTTCTTGAAATAACCCAATAGCATTGGCTTAAATATTATATTTTACGGTGAAAGCTATAAATGTTTTTTTTTATTCAAGATATTTGTTCCATCACTTCTCAGGGAAAATAGACGAGAATTGTAAGTATCCAATTCATGCCAATTAATAAACAAATTTAACTCAAGATACCAGATTCTTAACACTTCATGATTCTATGCAACAGAATCGCAGACCATTTAAATATTTTCTTCACTAATCAAAAGTTGTTCAAAAGAAGTTCTAGCAGTGAAGAGGAGAGCTGAACATTTGTACTGCAGTATAAGCCACTCGCCTGGAACAAACGCGTGCCGTCGACGTCGTAGGTGTCGTGGTCGTGGACGTTCTTGAAGCCCGAGGCTTTGCCCCCCATGAAGATCACCATGCGACCTGCAAGGATTCATCAACATTAAATGCTCATGAACATTAATTTAAAAAAAATACGTCATAGGATTCATCAACATTAAATGCTCATGAACATTAATTTAAAGCAAATAAGTCATAAGTTTCATCAACATGAAATGCTCATGAGGATTAATTTAAAGAAAATAAGTCATAAGATGGAACAGCAATGCACAAAATTACAATTAGATGGAAAATAACTGCAAAAATTCTAACGTGATTTTCGTGAGTTGATTGGTTATGAAATTTAAACAAACATCAAGTCATAAAAAGGAGCAGCGATTAACATAACTGTAAAGAACCAGCAGAATTACTGCAAACATCATAACGTGTTTTTATAACGAGTTGATTGAGTGCTATCATAATATCGTTGAGCTCCGTTATTAAGCCAGCATACCTGCCAGAAGTAGACGATGTACTTCTCGCGTCCCTCCACCTGGTAGATGTACTACATCAACGTACCTGCCAGAAGTAGACGATGTACTTCTCGCGCCCCTCCACCTGGTAGGTGTACTTGAGGACGTACGAGTCGCCACCGAAGAAGAAGCCAAGAGTGGACTCGTCGACGGGCTGCAGCTCGAAGTCTTCCACGCGGAACTTCTCGATCTGTGGGTATTATTCAGCATTATATAATATATTATTCAGTATTATAGCTGCAAATTTTTCAACAAGAGACATGCCCGGGGACAGATTTGATCCATTTCCTTTTTTCTTTCACTTTAGTGATGTATTTATCTCGATGAATCGAGGAAAAGCTCTACATCAAACCTATTCATTTTACCGATAACTACTGGCGATAAGCGATCAATTTTAAACATCGAGTAAACAATTTAACATCAAATTGACTGAATCAAGGATTTCTGGGTGAAAACATTATGCGATAACAAGTATGTCCATCATAGGAAATATGCAACGTAAGATGACAGAGCAACGTACTGTGCCGGAGCCATCGTCAGGCATGAAGCCGAACGCAGGGCCGGCGTTCTTGGCGAGCAGACGTCGTTTGCCGGCGTGCAGGCTGGCGACGTTGAACGGCGCCTCAGGTCCTGACGCTGTCAATTGGTTGAAATTATTTTCATAGGTTTTATGAATACTTTACTTACTTTCTACACCTAAGAATACATATTGAATGTAGTGTCATTCGTGGAAATGAGCAATGATCATCTTGCCCCACGTTTTATAATGATGTCTAATAGGTTTTGCCTCACTAATTACATCATTGCTTTTAAACGTGCATAAATTTACCGTCAATATAGGTACCTTTCAATTATTAAAAGTAACAATTGACCTACATAAAATCTGGAACAATTGTAATACTATTCGCCATTCCGATTAGGCACTCAACATAAAAGATTAAGGTTAAGGTTAATTAAGGACCAGGCCATTAACCAGCAATAACCCTGAATGGTTATTGCAGCCCTGGTTATTGTCTCACCGGCAATCTGAGACTGAGTGTAGACTCTGCCGAAGCCAATAGTGGACTCCGGCTCCTTCCATGACTTGAAGTATTGCTTGAAGACCGTAGGTTCGGTACCCTCACAGATGCGCTCCACTTTGGTCCACTTGGGGTATCCCTGGCGTTCCAAGTACTTCGTAGCAAGCTCCATGGAGCGAACTTTCTCAGCACGACTAGACTCGCGGCCGATCCACACGAACAGTCCAGAGCCGCCCGTGTCAAGCAAGAAGCAGTCCTGACCACGTCACAGTGAAACAAAAATTTACCAAACATTGTTTTGGATGAATTTTTATTAATAAATTCGGATATGTTCGGATTGACAGGAAGCTAGTCTTTTCCTTGTTAACATCAGATAAATGACCACATGAAGTCCCAAAAAACATTCTTTGCGATGGATAAAAAATGAAATAATGAACTGATAGCATAATTCAGCTTAGGATTTAATGCATACTGTAAAAAAATCCGACTACAAATGAAATTGCGCGGACATTTTAGAAAATAAGAATATATGTGGAATCACTTTTCAACAATGTAGCCTAAAAGAAGGCCAACAAAGTAGCAAGAAGATATTGATTGAGGTCTTATGACAGCTGTGCAAGAACCTGGAATATTTAAGGTCGTAGATACAAAGCGAGCGGAGGAAAAACTTCATGACTATACATTTAAAACACGAGAGGTAGTAACTACCAGATGCGCTTCCACAAACTGCGTTCGAGTTATCATAAAAAATAGCTGAAAGAACGTTTAGGATTATAATTAAGAAATACGAAAGTGAACTCCTGAGTAATTATGCTGAAGATCCACCTGCGTGTCCAAGACGAGAAGGCAGAGAAATAAGTAACAAAATAGTAAATAGAGAAGTGCTAATTCCAGTTGCTTAGAACAAGCGTGAATAGGTTTCAGTGAGAGATAATGAAGACTCGCATTGTTTACTTCATTATGTGTATATTAAATGAAGGCTAACAACACAGGGTAAAATTTCAAAGAATAATTACAACCTGAAACGTTTAAGGTTTTTCTTTCGAATGTATAGCATACAAAATAATCGAGCAGGCTTTGCATTAGAGATAATGGAAGATAAGAAATGCAAATTGAAAGTTTCCCATTTGATAACTGAACTCCTGATAGTTGCAATGCACCACAAGTTGCATGCTCAAGAAACATGAGTGAAGAGAGTCAATCAATTAAAAAGTTAACATGCAGGCAGACAGAGAACCTTCAACGGTAAAATACAACCTCAGAACAACGCGATGCTACATTACCAGCTACAACGCCACACAACCCACCTGGCTGCCCTCTTCCTGGGGAGGGGGTAAATAGAGGGGACGGTGAGAGGGGAACAAAATGCGTAACATAAACAATAATCCCAAGATGTAAAATGAGCTAATTAAATAAACACAAACTGTATCAAACGCATTGATTAGTTATTATGCACGCATATATATTATTTTGTGCTACGAACAAATGTGCGAGTAAGAAACGAAGCAAATAATAAATAAAGTGATTAAGTAATGCACGTAAGAAAGAGAAAGGATGGAGGCAGAGACTCCGCTCAGACTCTTACCCCTGAGTTGAGGTGGCTCTGGGACAAGGGCTTCTGAGCAACCTGCTCCGACTGCACTGAGCCGCCTTCCTCCCAGACGCGGTGCAGGGACACCACCTTCTGCTCACAGGTGAGTCGTGAGCAGAACAGACATTACATTGCCACGCATCTATGGAGTGTCACGAATCTACACTGCAAATTCCCATTCAATTGTTTTTTCAATAAATGCATATGAGTCGTTCGCAGAACAGACATTACATTGCCACGAATCTATGAAATGTCACGAGTCTACACTGAAAATTACCAATGCTTTTCCAATAAATGCATGCTCATCTTGAATATATAATGCGCTTCTTAGGCAAAGGGTTATTCTCAATCATCCACACGAATAAAGCCAGTGAGTGAAAGAATGTCTTTCAAAAATAAAATCAAGAATAAAAAACATAAAATGCACCATATAAATTATACCGAATTCCTGGACCAGCGTTCAATACGTCAGCTTGAACATGGCAACCTTCCTCATAAACATTTCATGTCAGCACCGAACTGCCTTCGCGTTGCCAGTCATGTGTAAAGAGAACCGCGAGTCTGATTGGTGGATTTAGCTTAAAAAGTCCTCAGTGATTTGCTCGGTCAATCGGTCGACGGAGTTAAAAACTCATAAATATTATTCACAGTACGGCCCCTGACCTCCTGGGATTGCTCGTAGGCGCTGTCGTCCTCAGAGCTGTCGGGGGCAACGTCGTCCAGCGACCCGCCGCCCAGCGCGTCGAAGAAACCAGCGACCTCCCCGCCACTCGCTGTCTCGTCTGGGCCCGTGTTCAGTAATTAGTTTTTACTAGGATTATTGTTACCGGTGTTACAAGTTCTGGGTCCGTGTACAGAAGTAATTAGTTTTTACTAGGATTATTGTTACCGGTGTTACAAGTCTCCAATTTTGCGTCATTGTGGCAGCAGCATTATGAGGGACTGAATGAACGAACTTTCCCTACATTTAGGAATTTAATTTACTCTCTGTTACTTACAATACCTTCTTTATGAATTTTTTTTAATCACCATAAGCTCAATTTAAATACATTATTCAATTCAGTCAGGAGTAATAATCAACCAAAACCACAACAATTATTATTTACATATCATTTAAAAAATAAATACGTACCCATTATTAAAATATCACCCGGTAAAATAAATATGGACCATCTGCCCCCATTTTTGAACTAAAACACGAATATTTTGTGCATTTATTTCTCAAATATTAATATGTAATATAATATTACTAGTCCTGGGGCCATACTTTCAAAACTCGCTAAGTGAACGTAAGTTCTTACGCTCTATTTTCTTGTCTGTGATTGGTGGATTTTGCTTGAAAGGCCGTCAATGAACGTAAGTACTTACGCTCTATTTTCTTGTCTGTGATTGGTGGATTTTGCTTGAAAGGCCGTCAATGATTGGCTGATGAACTTACGATCTCTTAACTTTTTTTGAAAGTATAGGGCCTGGAATATTTCTCGACCTCTCAGTTGCTCTCACCGATGATGATGACTTTGGCCTTGCCGGCGTGGTCCTCGTCCCTGATGCCGTTACCGGCCTGGATGGCCTTAAGGCGCTCGATGCGGCGGCAGGTCGGTCCCATGTACACGTACACCGCCTTACCGGAGTCCAGGATGAAGCAGTCAGACTGGTTCATGGACGACACCGAAAGCTCAACCTGCAAGGAAAAACTAGAATTAGCTGCATCTCTAATTCATGATTTCCAGTTTCCTTAGAGTAAATTTTCCTTTACCTGTTCCGACAAACTAGAATAAGCAACATTTCTAATTCAAATTTAAACTTTCCTTAGAGTACGTAACAAGTTTCATCGACCTTTCCGGATAAACTAGAAAGAGCTATGTCCATAATTCATAATTATTTCCTCTGAATTAATTTCTTCTCGTTAGAGTAACAAGTTTCAAAGACCTGTTCAGATAAAATAGAATGAGCTATGTCCATAATTAAGAATTTCCTTGGTATAATTTTTTCCAAGTCTTCCCGTGGCTAGGACGCGTGTACTCGCCTGACTGACTCTGACGTTCCTCCTTCCCTTGACGTGGAAGAGACGTGCGGGGTACGGCGCGTCGGGGTCCACGTGGGTGAAGCCTGACGCAACACCCCCCTTCAGGTACCGCACGCCCCCCTTGAACCTGGCCGGGGGGACACGATCAGCATGGACGATAGACACGATCAGCATGGACGATAGACACGATCAGCATGGACGATAGACACGAAGACTCGTGCCCCTGGACCTCCCTGTGCTGGACCGGCACGCCTCCCAGGGAGTCGTCCAGCTCGACCGCTTTGATGGCGCACGCTCCAGCCTCATCCTGGTGCAGCGAGATAATGTCATCCACTTATAGGAGAAGCTCCAACAACATACGCCTGGATTAAAATCATCTAACGTTCACCTATAGATTAATACCGAAAATCATCCACGCATTAATTAATACCAAATAATATCATCCACATAAGAACTGCCTGATGGACAATCATCAACGCTCCAAACGACCTCTTGAAATATACAAAGAAGCATTGAGCTGTATAGTATTAAAATCAATAATAATATATCGATAATGAAACTTTTACTCGATGTTACTGATGGCGTCAGGACCGCCGAGGGCAGCAGTCTCACCTGTGAGGTCTCGGACCCGAGCCAGAAGTGTACGTCCCAGTGCGTCCGTCCCGTACCTTCCTCCTTCTCCGTCTGGGGAACATGCAAGATATTCGTAATTTGCATCAATATAATATAAATATAATACTTTTCACAGAAATATATAAAAATAATCAAGAAATATATATTGTTAGAAATTCCGCGTCAATTTTGGTTACGGATGCATACTTATTCTTTTTGATGGCCTGTGCGAGATAGAAATTTTGGCTGGAAGACGATGAAAATCTACGAAAAAGATATATAAAAAATAATCAATATATTGCAGGTAACTCCGCGTCAGTTTCGGTTATGCATAGATGCTCACTTATTCTTTTCGATGGCCTGTGCGAGATATATGTAAATTTTGGCAGGAATTTAAGACGACGAAAATCTATGAAAAAACTGCAAACATTCTCGCTTCGAAGAACGAGTTTAGAGCAAGCAGTAATTTGAGTATACTAGTGAACTATAGTCTTTTATAAGTAAAAAAATACAAAACTGAAATTCGAAAGTGAGCACTAAAAATAAAGGTTCATATTGGAGCACGTGTATAGGATTGACATTTATAATGCATGCACAAAAATTGTTTTTGACCAATTGCAGAATAACACTAGATGGATTAAGTGAGAGCAAAAACTCGTCATACTGAACGGTAAAAACCTGATGAATCGGACACGATGAAACAGGATGGAGTGCGTGATAGGTGAATTTAAAAGTAAAAAAAACTGCTTAACATCGGGCAACGCGAGGAGAAGACAAAAACAATTGCATATTTCAGCTTATTTAACAACAACTCAAAACCATTAATGTATCATCGGTGGTAAATTGACGTGCATCATGATTTTATTAAAGGTATACCGGTACCAGCATTTTTAGGACACTCAAATTCAATATCCAAAAATTAATTCAGACATTACTCGCGTAATCACTTACGTAGAGGACGATGTAGGAATCTCCTTCGTAGAACTGGCCGTACTTCTCGCGGGGATAAGGCACCACAACGAAGTTCTGAAAGAAACCATCCTTATTAGTGAGGTCTTCGAACAGAACTTTCAGTATAATGAGACAGTTCTGAAAGAAAACATCCTTATTAGTGAGGTCTTCGAACAGAACTTTCAGTATAATGAGACATTTCTGAAAGAAAACATCCTTATTAGTGAGGTCTTCGAGCAGAACTTTCAGTATAATGAGACAGTTCTGAAAGAAACCATCCTTATTAGTGAGGTCATCGAACAGATCTTTCAGTATATAATTAATGAGACATTTTGATGTCACCAATCGTTGTGTAGTCAATTAACAAAACTTTCACAACAATGACATTTTGATCTCAAAAACCGTTGTTATAGTGAGGTCAACTCTTAGCAATTTCTTAGCAAATATAAATATAGAGCTAACGAATTTATAATTCGAAACACCCGAATTTGCATAATGAGCGGTCGAAATTCTGATCTGCTTAATTCGAATTTCTACAACTGACAGGTAGATAGTAGATTATATGTCATTATCTTTTAAAGGGTCAAATCAAGCAAATCTATTTTTTTAACGAATTACTATTCGGTAACTCATTATAATACGACATTTTTCGATTCTCTGCGAGATTGAAATCCAGGTTGGGAACATTTTCATTGAGATGAACGGTAAGATTTGATTAATGAGCCAGAGTGAACCCAACACACGAGTTCTAATTCACGAGCTGCAGTCAGGCACCAATTCAACCAGTACACGCGCCTGAGAAAACATGTAGCACGCCTCAAATATACTGAGTGAGGCAGGGAGCTTCCCAAGCCCGGTCGTTGGAAAGCGCAAGCGAAGTTGAGATTTTGTTCGTTCAAAAATAAGCAAAACTGGCATTTGTCGTACATTCATAAAATGGGAAACTGTCGATCTATAACACGGTAATGATGGGCTATTAAAAATCGAAGAAATAAAAGAGACCGAAAAGCGATCACGTATTATTTATTATTACTAAAATGTTGGCATCATTTGTATCATGTATTCAAAGGAATCTAAATTGTTCAATTCGCGGAACAAATCTGGGAGGCGTTGAGAGAAATCATAAATCGACTTATTATATCCTACATAGTACGACATGGCAAGCAAGTGTGCACAATGTCTGTCAACAATCAACGTGCATGCGGAGGGCGAGCTCGTCACTGTGGCATATTAGCGGATCATATAGCGGGTGGAGCGCCGTAACAATGCCTGAAAAAGCTAGCAGCATAAAAATAACACGAATATTTCTGACCCATGCATGTGCATATTTATTATTTATTTGCAATGAGACCATTCGATGTAATAAGTGACATCAGAAGACATGCAAAAGGATCAAGAACGTGAAAAATGATGAAGAAAGAAGGTACAAGATCAAGATTTTACGTTTTTAGTATTTACAGCACAAATTCAGGCATCCACTGTCAAAATTACGTAGTTCTGATGGAAGAAACTATAACAAATGTATATACATACGATCAGATTAGCATGCTAATCATGTGCGCAAAAAAACAAGGACGAGTGTCGCAGTCCGGTTGTCATGAGACGGACACAGGAACTATAATTTGTTGCCTTACTGAGGTGCTTCTTCTTCTAAAACGCGGCGCCTCGGCGGGGGAAAAAACACGGCGCATACATCTACGGTAGAATTCGTGCGATGAACTGCCCGTGGCACTGTGCAAAGGGGGAGAAATCGAGACGTTTAACATGCACTTAATCGATAAAAAAATCCAGATTAAAACCAGAAGGGGCGCATCAGCCAAGACTCCACGGATGAGACGTTTGCTGCGATGCATTAAAAAAAGGCATAGAACTTCACAGTGCTCACAAAAATTGCTTTTGTCAATTCAGAGCACCGCGTATATTTTTAACAGCGCAAGTACTACAATAAAGTGAGTGAAAGAGAAGCTCGCTTGTTCAAGCGCCCTTTGAAGCTAACTTCAGTTACCCGTGAACGCTTCAATTTACAAACGCCGCTCTGTCATCGAGCAACATCTTAAATTTTATTAGACATCGACGTCTGCAGACTGTGCAAAAAGTTGTTTCGCAGAGACCTTCAGCAGAGAATTGACGTATCTTGTGAAAACAAAAATGTTTTTAATTTCATTGCAATTTATTAAAATAAAATCAGAATGGATGCAATATTATTAATAAGACAAATTAACGCTTCTCAGTGATATAAACTACCACGATTCCAGAACGGGACTTGAAGCAAAGCTGGTCAGGCAAACCACTATAGCACAAGCAGGCCGTCAGATGCAAGCAAGCACCCGCGCAACGTAGTTGCCAAGACACGCTCAACTGACGTCGAGTAACCGATGGTTTGCATCAGTGGGAGACTGAACACTCACGACCGAATGGACAAAAAACCCCAAGCTATCTCCGTGCGATTCTTTTTGCCTATCTCACGAGAAATCATTTCCTAGACACAAGCCGACATCAATTTAGCGCGACTTAATGAGCAACGCAGTAGTGAACTTGGCTGTGATGTGAAGCAGTGACGACGCATGCAGTTAAGTAGCATTCGCTTGAACTTGTTACACGTAATACAGTAAATAAAATCACATTTCATTCTTGTAAGAAAAATAATAAAATCGCCATCCAGCATCAGCATTCGTTAGAATTAGCGAGCAATACTATCTTACGGACTGATGCTTAATTAGACTGAAACGAATCCCTCATTGTGGAACTTTCATCGCTAAATTTAGTTTGAAGTAAATAATTAAACTCATTCGGAAGAATGAGCGAAATATTGAAGCAGTTCAACTGTACTTCATCGGGAAGATACAAGGAAATATCTTTGAGACCCAGTCGTTTCACGTTATATACCTACTAAAGCAGAGACCAGATACGGACGCGGTCTCTATAGTACGTACAATAAATGGTTGAAGCCGTTTCTAAAATGGGAAAAGTTCTTGTAATTTTTAACGAAGAAATCTTTAAACGTTTAGATTTTTAATCTTTACATCCGTACAATTTTGTTTCAACTGGCATCATTTACTGTATACTTCATGCGCGCAACTCACACCAGCACGTAAAGTCGTTAAACCCACGCGTTAACCAAGTTCGCCTCTTTGTCAGCCTTTCTACCTTACGAGGCAATAAAAGCGTTCATTATTAAAGGTCAATAGAACTATGTATTTAAATTCTCTCTATTTTCCGAGTTAGCGCAAAATTTCTCATCTTCACTGCAGACAGCGGCTTATTTTTCACTAATAGATAAACCGTTCGCTGCCGACAGGAGAAATTCAGTGCACTGCGAACAGTGTCCACCGGTCTATTCTGATCATTTACACTGTTCATGATTATTTGCAACTACGATCATTTAGTTTCTTACTCAAATATTGGCTGGCTCGAAAATACGTTCGCACATTGAACAAAGCCATAAAACTAAAGTGTAAGTCGATAAAATTATTTAATTAATAAAGAGCCTCATCTTCACTGCAGACAGCTGCAAAGAGCGGTTTAATTAACCTCTCTACCTTACGAGGCAATAAAAGCGTTCATTATAAAAGTTCAATAGTCCCATTGCTTCGCTTCTGGTAATTTGCCAAGAAACCTGCCTTAACATGCCGTCAGATCTTCCTGTAGATACGGGACAAAGTGAAATAACTTTATCTGGCATGACCGGAGCTAATTTCTTGCAGCCTTCTTTAATTAGCACCTTCTCGTGAGCCTTAGATACAAGACGTTCCTAGATATTCATTGCTTCATCTAATCATTACTCATTGAGGAGACTTCATCTAAAAATATGTTTTATAGTTGCTGAAATTATTACTGTAGAAGAAATTATTGCCTTCACTAATCAGACAGCTAAATTTTGTACACTTACTGCAAAGAAGAGACAAGTGCTCTTATATATTAGTATATTCTACGCCAGAATAAAAGCACGCAAGCGGTACGAAGCCTCTTGCATCGGAGCTGTCGTTAGGAGAACAGACGATAGCAATTAAATTCTAAATATACTAATCGAATACAGATAATCAAGAAGTTGCCAAAAACATCACCAAAATGCTTAATACATGTCTGAATTCCTCTCGGCTTGGTGCTGACAGGCAACGTTGCACAGGCAGGATTAGACGACATTCAGGATTAATGTCAGGAATGGGATTAAATTGAATTATTCGCGCTATAAAAAACGAAATGAGTGGATGGCTACGAGGGAGACCCTCGACCTTCCGAGGGGAAGCTCCGAAATAGAAGGGCCTGGTCCGGCATTTTATTGTAAAAGAGATCTCAGCAAGCCTGTCTTTAGCACTATACATAGCAGCAAAACCCTGCAGCAGTTTCATCCTATGTGTGTTCTATTTTATTTAGAAACTGCCGGCTCGGACCCCAGTGTGTTTCGTAATTACGTAACAACATTTTCAACCAGTGGTGCTATTGGCAGATTCGTTTTTATAAATACCAATTTCCATCAAAATTATTGGCAACTATATTTTTTTCAGAAACTGTTATGAGGGAAAAAGGCCGAACACTGAAAAGTCTGAATTTCAGTTTTGTTAGTGAATAATAAAGTATTGAAGCTGTGTGGAGGTCGTACAAGTGGCTGCTTTGGAACAAGAAGCTTTGTGAACAATTGCCCATAAATGATTGAAAAATATACTCATTAACAAAGGCCAAACTCAGTCCAAATACGCACCTAAATTTCTAAAGCGAAAATTTGATTTGTCACACCATGCACATTTCAAACATTGAAAGTTTCAGCCAATCCCCACTCAATTAGGCAAATAGAATATTTTATAATATTTAGAAATAAATAAAATATTTGTTTTTTAGTTCAATAAAAGAAAATAATGATGTAGCGTTAGCAGGTTCCACGACCCACTTGGGCCATCTCAATTTTTTTAATTAGCACAAAAGCTTGCTCCGTTTAGGTAGGTTTATACATAATTTCGAGTGCAGGTCTAAACTCACGTTGCCATTTAAGTGGCCTGTAAACAAATAAAGTTTTGACGGCGAAGAGGAGATAAGTTATCTGATAAAAGCTGCAGGGATGACAGGCAGGAACAGATAAAGCTAAGTTGAGTCATGTATGTAGAGTTTCACAACACTCGTGCAGGATGAATGGACCAGGATTTTAAACATAAATGAATGCATGAGCATTTAGCGGTAATTGCATACTGCATTAAATAGTCACCCTTCCTAAAAGATTAAAATGGAAAACTTATTTAAACTTATACTGTGAATATAATTAGGTATATTAACTGAAGAAACCATGACGCGAGTTGTTGGGGGACGATGTTGCTCAATGGCTTGCAAGTTGCGTTATTTAAGATGACGACAACAGTCTATGAGTCATGTCCAGATATTGGATTAATATACTATCCAGCGAGCTCTCATTCTGATGAATATAAATTCTAGGATCGACAAAGCTGAGACATCAACGATATAAGCAATGCAAATTCCTTTACTAACAATTGATCTAGTAGATACAAGTGTCTCGCAAATACACAAAACCTAAAAATGTATAATATTTAGTGGATAAAACCCAACAACAAGCGTAACGAGATGATCTCATCGGCTTGCAGGGCTCGATGTCAGCGGTTCCGTTTAATCCTTGCACGCATGACGAGTTAGACTGTTAGAGTGAAATGTTTTCTACCAGAGTTCTTGCAGCGTCGAGGAGAGGTGTGCAACCAGCTTATAATGGCGCTGTTGCATTCCATTTGAGTGACGTCTCAGACACATACGCAGCTGCAACCGAAGCAGCAGGTGCAGCAAACGGTGCAGCAACTGCTGCAAACGGAGCAACAACAGCAACAAACATAGCAGCAGCTGCAGCAAACGGTGCAGCAGCAGCAACAAACATAGCAACAGCTGCAGCAAACTGAGCAGCAGCAACGGCAAAGTTAGCAGCAGCATCGACAAAGTTAGCATTAACTGCAGCAAATTGAGTAGCAGCAGCAAACGATGCAACAGAAACAAACTGAGCAGCTGCAGCAGCAGCGAACGAAGCACCTGCAGAATGAAATGCAGCAGCAACAGCAGATCAAACAACAGCAGCAAACAGAGCAGCAACAGCAGGTGAACCAACAGCAGCGAACAGAGCAGCAACAGCAGAAGCAGCGACAGCAGGCAGCAAAGGAAGCAGCAGCAGCAGCCAGCAGCATCAAGTTCCCAGCTAGCCTCTCACAAAACAAAGCTCGACGAAAATAGCGAGGCAGAGCGCCACTCAAAATACTGCCACAGCAGGGAAGGCTCAACACGAGAGTTCTTGAAACCTGCGGCGGCCAACAGGAGTAAAATAAATATTATCACCTACTAAAACGTTTAAACTTGAAGACATTTCTAGAGACGCATGATGAACCACAAATATCCAGGCTATATATGGAAACAAAAAGGTGACATTTTCACATTTACTTATACAGCAATTATCATGCGATTAAATAGATTTACAAATAAATTCTTTCTGAAAGCCAGGACAGCATGGCACGATTCATCAAAATATTAATTATATAATAAAGAGGCTGCACTAAATCAATACTTTAAAAATTAAGTCGAGAAATAAAAATGTAACCTTTGAACACTCCTCTGTAAAAAAATGAATTTTCAATACATACACCACACAAAATAAATGTAATATCGATATATAAATGGCTTTGCAACTGAAATAAATTATGTCATAATCCTACTTGTTTCATCATTAGGAAATGAAACCCTAAAACTACACGAGTTGATTCCACGTATTGAAGAACGCGGTTTTCCTCGGCCCTTATCGTTCGCCGTTAGCAGTTACGAAATATCTTGTGTTCGGGCATCCGTTCGTTAACGGATACCGTTATCTCCAGCATAATAACCACACCGAAGGTAGTATAATAACTCGACAAAATCATTCTGCAGTTTGTTCTTACATTGCCTTTTAACCTTGTGTTTCTTAATTAAACAAACAAGAACAAGTGCTAATTGCAATAAATTGTTTACTAACAACAAACATTCTTGGCCAATTTGGCCGATCTATATCGCCGGAAATCAACACAAGTTGAGCAGTTGATACGGACGTGAGAGCGTCAAGTCAGTTCCAGGCGATGCAAGCACGTCACCGTCTCGGCGGCTCGCATGGAAGTTGACCTTGGCAGCAGTCATGACAGAGCTAGCGGCAGACTCTGGTCTATCAGGAGTCATGGCAGAGCTAGCGGCAGACTCTGGTCTATCAGGAGTCATGGCAGAGCTAGCGGCAGACTCTGGTCTATCAAGTCCAACTCTCCAAAAGAACAAATGAAATTAGGCAATACAACAGCCAGCTCTCAACTTTCAATATATAGCAACAATTCGATCAAAATGTAAGTTTATTGGAGTTGTTATAAAAGTCTTGTTTATGCCTTTATATTGTTCGCAATCAGTAGAAACTTGAATCAATTTAGAGTAATTTAAAAATTCCGGGCGTGGCGCGCAAGAAATGGGAGGGACTATCACGAATACAGGGTACATAGATGATGGCGAAGCCAAGATAGGCTCACGTGTTGCTCCTCAGCACCATCTCTTCTGATTAGGTTGATCTTCGTTATCTAAGGTGACAGGCGCTTCCGAGACTATCGATTGCACACTTGCAGCTCTTTACGCACCACGAGATCAGTCAGTTTGGCCAGCATAATTTCAATGTTATATGCTTCGCCTTTCTGTTACAAATACATTCGTGTCATTCACATAAACATATGGACATAAATAAAAATAAAAGCATGGGTTAATTCGCTAAAACACTTGCTTAATATCTTCGTGTGTCTTCTTGTTGTTGTTTACTTAACCTCTTCTTCGAGTTGTCTTCGACCTTCAAATCTCATGTTTCCTTCAACAAAAACTGTCAAAAAGTATTAACTTAAGCAGATGCTAAATTATTTATTATTACTATAATTTTTATTATTACCATACTATATGGAGAGACAATGGTAAAACAAAACAAATCCTCAACAAAGATTTATTAGCTACGAAAATAAAGAAGAGAGAAATAAAGCGCAATCGAATCAATAATCTGAAATCGAATTGATAAATAGAACGGAAAATAGAATTGATTGATACACTGTACGTCAGTATCAGACATACAGCAGCAAACTGTCAGAGTGTCAGTCAATAAACTACTGTATGATACAGTAGTTTAATTAATACGACACCGAGCATCCGTAAAGTAATAACAGAATTTTAGACCAAATAAATAGTAAATCGAAATATTTGGTAATCAGAATGTACAATGTTGCTCGAGAGAAAAGTTACGGAGCAGCATGCCCACGAACAGCGCCACATCCCCTTAAAAACAATAGACTTTGAATAATCAGGAAAAATTAAATTTCGTTCATATCATTTTGGGGGCCGAACATCGTGCCGTACAGGGTAATTGAGAAGGGCGTGACTAACGTCCCGTAGCGTACGTACCACGCAAAAGCTCCATCGAATGCGCTATAGATTTTTGACAAAATTCTACGCTCAAAAAAGCGTTGACTTTATAGAGGAAAATTTAAACTCAATTCATCATTGAAATTGGTAGATTACTCCAATGATTACAGATGTACAAGATGCAGGCTGACCAACATTTGGATCTCGGGCCGCTTACAATTCGGAGTCTGGCGGACACATCACACAAAACTTTCATTGTCGAAACAACTTACCTCAATTCTCCAGATTTCTAAGCCAGCACTACGACCAGCAGACTCAAATGCGGGATCCATTATAATTGAATTTGTAATGTCAACTAAACAGACAGGCTATGAACAAGGATGCTTAACAGCTGCACAGATCTTTTAACATAACCTTCCCCTACGACGTGCACCGGCACAGTGACTGCGCGGTCTGCGAGTCTGCGACTCTGCGCGATTGCGCCTTGTTCATGTCGCGATTGTCGTCCGCAGTCCGGCATTTCTCAGACTAATAATTCAAGTTCATAGAAAACGATATTCTGAACGCCCGGAATACGAAATAATCTGGTTTTCAAGCGCAGTAAAAAATAAAGATATAAATCGCATTGATATGATTTTATTGGATGAGTAGTGCCTATTGAAATTTTGTGTTTAATTTTTAAGAAAAGGTGCCCATTAATTAGAGCAATTTTTATCCGCTTTGCCGTAATTATTAATCAACTAGAATGTAAATGAACGTATCTATCTCATCAATGAGAAGTTGAGTAGCACACATATAGTTGCATTTCATATTTACAATGAATAAACCTACAATGAATAAACCGTTCTTCCAATGTTTTTTAAAGCAGGGTGGCCCAGTGGTTAAAGTTCAGAGTCTCGAAATTGGCGCAGAGAGGCGCGGGTTCGATCCCAGCTCTGTGCGACAGTTTCTGGTCAGAATCGGCAAGGAGGCCGGTCGGTTAAGCACAGCAGAATTGTAGCAGTGAGACTGAGTGAGTTGCGAGTTCGAGACCGCAAAATGCTCTGAATGTTCTGCGATGTTAAGAATCAGCGACAGGCCTACGGCCTAATAAACGCTGAAACCGCTATTATTATTATTATTATTATTAAACATCGGCACGTTGTATTGACATTTGCCGATGTTTAAAAAACATTGGAAGCACGTAATTTTAATCGTGTAGTCAGGAGTAACTGGTAACAAAACGTTAAAAACTCTAACGAGCAATGCAGTAAACAAAAATCGTAAATTATTTATTGTTAATATTGGTGGACTTGAAAATATCAATCGAACTGTTAAATTTTTTAATAATTATACGTGCATGCGATTTTATGAAACAGCTCCGCCAAGTAAACAACATTTCTATTCTCCTGAGGTTACGGTACTCTACTGAGGTTACTCAAGCCCAAGGTTGACTAGTTCAACTATGATGCGGCCCCAACGCAACTATTTCTCAACAAAAAAATTGAGCATCGTTTTATTGAACATTATTCTTGGCATTATATATGGAAGGAATGTCTATTGTTGCATGCTTCTTCATAAGAATAACATTCATGACGACAGAGCTTCATGAATATTCTTTCTCATGGCAGAGCATTCTTTCTCATGGCAGGAATACTACATTTGATTTAACATGACACCCTAGGATGACTAGTCTCATAGGTTCGTCAGGGTAGGGTTTCATTGGAGAGGTACACTGATTCTTTAAGACACTATTCTCATGGATTGGACAAGGTAGGACTTCGTTGGAGAGGTACGATGATTCCTTAGGACGACTAGTCTCATGGATTGGACAAGGTAGGACTTCGTTGGAGAAGTACGATGGTTACGCAGGACGACTAGTCTCATGGATTGGACCAGGGAATGACTTCGTTGGAGAAGTACGATGGTTACTTAGGACGACTAGTCTCATGGATTGGTCGGGGTTGGTGTCGATCTACGCCGCAGGGCCATGAAGATGCCACGTGCAGGGTTGATCGCTACAGATGGCACTGTCAGAGGAGGAGGGTCCTCCGTTTCGGGCGCCAGGTCTAATCTATAAAATCGGTTATCTAATCAGTTAATAATCACAAAAACTCATATTTCTCTTCACGAACACCGTATTTGAATCGGAGCTTAATTTAAATCATTAGAAAATTTCGTTTTTTAAGAGGTTGAGTTCTTTCAGAAAAATTTTAGCATGCGGTTTGAATGCTTTCATCGTAACTTGAAGCAAATTTAAGACTACAAGAAAAGAAAACATATCAGGCAAACATGCAAGGGGATAAATCTTGTCGCATTTACAATGGGGATTCGGCATTATAGCGGCCTATATTCGGCATTATAGCGGCCTATATATATGAGACATACACATCACTACCAAGTTACCAACGACTCACTCATAGTTTAGGATGATCTTAAATGATCTTAACAAGACATTCACGTCATTACCAACGACTCACTCATAATTTAGAATGATCTTAGCAAGACATTCACGTCAATACCAATGACTCACTCATAATTTAGAATGATCTGAGCAAGACATTCACGCTATCACCAACGACTCACTCATAGTTTAGAATGATCTTAGTAAGACATTCACGTCGTAAACAACGACTCACTCATAATTTAGAATGATCTTGAATGATCTTAGCAAGACATTCTTGCTATCACCAACGACTCACTCATAGTTTAGAATGATCCTTAAATGATCTTAGCAAGACATTCATGCTATCACCAACGACTCACTCATAGTTTAGAATGATCTTAGCCAGAGCAAGTTTGGCCTCGAGTTGGCCGAAGCGCATGCCGACGCAGTTTCGCGGCCCTGCTCCAAAAGGCAGGTAAGCCATCGGGTGGCGGGTGCTGTTCGCCTTCGACGAGGCCGAGAAACTGAAAATCATAAAATAACATTAAAAATTATTATAGAAGATTTTCTTTGCAATTTTAATATCATTATCATTAATACCAAGAAACTGGGAGTCTCAGATGATATTAAAATTTCTTTACTAATAATATCGTAGAAATTGAATATCAAGATTTGACTTTCTTTCAATAATTAGCTCAGAATTGACGATAAGTGGGACGTGATTCTCTAAAGGAATTTTCAATTATTACAATAGAGAAGCAATATTTTCCGACAAATTTCATTGCAAGTTTCATTTAGAGGCCATATATACTATGGATCACAGGGAGCTTTCGGGACCATCTCTCCATGAATAGATAATATAATATAATAATTTAAAAATAATAATATACCGCGAAGGGTCGAACTTCTCAGGATCAGGCCAATGTTTTGGATCCCTGTGAATGTCCCAGATTGGTATGAGGATGCCAGTGTTCTTGGGGATGGTCACGCTCCCCACCTGTAATATAACAGCGCTTATAAGTTATAGGTATCAATCCTAGCGCTATAACAGCACTACATTATCAAGCGCTATGGCAGCGCTAGCATCTGATGGGGATGATGGATATACACATCGAGTGCCTTGCACGACTGGCCGACTCGTAAGAAAGGTTTTGTTAGAAAATAATAACAAATAGCGCTATAACAGCACTATATTACCGAGCGCTATGGCAGCGCTAACATCTGATAGGGATCATGAATATACACATCGAGTGCCCTACATGACTGGCCGACTCATGAGAAAGGTCTTAGTTAGAAAATAATATCCTGAAATTATTTTGAAGGAGGGAAACCGATATTTCAAGCTCGCTTGCATTTGTTTATGAGACTCTGGTGAAGATGAGCGGAGCAATTTCGCAACTCAGACCTGAATTACCTGGGTATCTTCTGAAGCTTCTCTTATGATGAAGGTCACCACGGGAGGGTAGAGTCTCAGGCTCTCACTGAGGATCTGATCCAGGAGTTTCATCTCTGACACGTGCTCGTATGTCACGGCACATGTCGGGTCCTGAAAACAGTGATGCATCAAAAATGTTTGACTCGAATTAAGACCTTATATTTCTCAAGAAGCGTCAAGTTATATCAAGTATAGAATACTACTTCTTATCTCTCATTCCATCTCAATGGACTAAGAATCACCATTAGATGTTAACATGCTCTTTAAGATTCGCGTGAATAATATTTGGAAATTAATTTATATGCCGTTTTAAGATGTACTGTTTTGATAATTACTTTGACAACAGAAATTATCTCGTGGTAGAGCTGGTCCTGGTAATTCTTATGCTTGGACAGGAGGTAGCACGTGAAGGTCAAAGCGTTTGCGGTGGTCTCGAAGCCTCCCAGCAAGAACACCCAAGCGTTGGCAATGATTTCGTTGTCAGAGAGAACTTTTCTGCTTGGTATGGCACTCAACGCTTCTTTCCCAACCTTTTCCTCGATGATAGTTTCCGATGCCTCGAGCATCATCTGCAGCACGTCCACTGTTTTCTCGCCAACATTATTTCGCCTCATTTTTATCACTTGCTTCAAGTGTTTCACTATCATGTTCGTCATTCGTCCTGAAAATGCAAGCTTATTGCTGAGCACCGACAGTAGCATGCCAAAAAATGGGAAGTATATTGCTAACATTATGAAGTTATTCACTGCATTCTGTAGGAAGCCACGGACGGCCTGAAGAAGCTTATCGTTCTGATTTCGTTGACAATTAGATTTAATGGCCAACGCGCACTCGCAAATAACGTCTAGAGTCATGCCTTGAAACGAGGAGTAAAGTTCAATTGTTTTTTGCGATTCGACGTGCTCCTCGAAGATGCTCAACAACGTATCAATCTTTTCATTCATGATTCCAGCCATGAGTTTCATTTTTGTCATCGAAAATGTTGGCGTCAACAGCGCTCTCACGTCTTTCCAACGCTGGTCGCGTAAACCTACAAGCGTCGTGATCACAGGTTCCGCCTTAATCACCATAGAAGGGCGATTTGAGAACAGATGAAAATCTTTAATGAGAATTTGCCGAACCATGTTTAAGTCAGACACAACCAGGCTGGGCCGCCCTCCAGAAAAGAATCCAAAAACTTCGCCGAGTTCTTCACGCCATTTGGTGATGACAGCCATCTGCGTATTGGAGCGGTCCCTGAGGATGTGGTTGCTGCCAAACACCAAATGCGGTTTCACGTAAGGAACTCCAATCCTGCAAGAAGATCACAAAGTTAAGATGATCCAACAATTCCGACAAGATAATTTGTAATGCAGAATATGCGTGTATTTCAAAACATAGGTATTGAGGAGGAAAAACACCTATCAATAAAGAACGCGACTACTGATAACGACTCACCTCTTGAAGAATTCTTGCTCGTAACGCCTGATTCGTACCCATTGAACTAGCTTGACTCCAACAAGAGTCAGCAAAATCACGATAATTGCTGCGAGCATCGTGAAGGGTTGCAGTAGATTACTACCTATTAAGTAGCCTCTAACGATGAGGCAAATCTCTTGAAACTGAGATAGAAGTTCTGCCTGTAAGCGCGCAACTTCCAGTTGAAAATAATTTCAGAATAAATTTCAAGGGGACTGGAGGCATGAAAAAAAGATTGTGATTTAATATGTGTTACGAAACAGCTTTCCTGAAACTCAAAATGAAATAGGCACAGAAGGTACCATAATTATGAAAATATGCATGATGGAGCTAAAAAATTGCGACTTTAAAACAAAGATCAACTAGAAGGCTGCCATATTCAGAATATTTTTACGAAACAGCTGAAATCAGGCACAAGTTTCAAAGTGTGCGATATCAACAACAGGCGTTGGGCATCATTTAAAAAGAGCCGTCATGTTAGTAATATCAACAGACATTATTTAAAAATAGTTGACAATTATTAAATTAATTACAGATCTGAAACATGCCCAATTGAGACCCTGAAACTGAAACTGGGAGTTAAGTTCAATGGGTACTTTGGGAATCGAAGACAGCTCAACCCCCAACCCCTTGCTACGCCCCCTGGCTCATGAACAATATGACCTTCAACAACCACATAATCTCGGCGACCGTAGCAGTTGCATTCAGCTTGTACGAGATCAGTAACAAAAGACCAGAAACAAAGAGCCTGTTAAGCTGTAAATAGGAATCATTAAAATCGGATGTTGTTACTTGTTAGCAACCACAAGATGAGCATGCGTTAAAATAATTGTGATGAAAGGTGTAAACAAGACTACATTCATTCAAGTGTACAAATCGGCGGAGTGAGAATCGCTCAATGCACCAGCTCTACACTTCGCGATGCTTGAACGTCGACTGTCTCGATATTGCTTCGCTGCACCACCAGTCCACCACCAGTCTGGGAAAGCGAATGAACTTTGTAATCTCGGGTGTCTCCAATGAGGGCAAAGCTATAGTGATACACTTGAGATATGGGAAACCCATTTGAGGCAATAATATGTAATTTAGGTATTATGCATCCCAAGAAATTTTGGAACTTGTATTATTTGGAAGCAAAAACAAATTTTCTAGGTAGGTAAATCCATGGTTGAATTAGTACAATGTATTAATTCAACCAATGTATGTATCAAACAACAAAGTAAAACAATGTATCAATGAATGTATTAATTCAACCATGGGTAAATCGGCGGCATTGATTACGAATAGTATTCGATTTCATCCGAACGTAGGCCACGATACAAATACAAAACATATTCGGAATATTTTTTGTCCGCTAAAACTGGAAATATATCAGATTTGATGATAATTTTAGCACAAGTTAACTATGTTACTGTGCGATCTACTAGTACAACCATGACTGTGCGTACCTACTCGGCAAGTCATACGATGAACCAATCGTAGTGGTCAACATTAACTTATCTGTCATCGCTTGATTATTAAAGGTTTTTTTAACCTCACATTTCCCCTTTTTATCATTCTGCACGTACATTTGTTCTTTTTCACAATTGCAATCATTGTTTGATAAAACTATTCCCGTGACTTGTGAACAACAAAGAAAGCAACTTACCGGTATGAGATGTGATGAAGTATCACAAGGAAACAGTTCAACGAGAATTAGAGAGCAATAAAAAACGTAATGTATATTCACCATATAATCAATGAAAACGGTTGGTGAATGGCGAATATGGTTAATTTACTTATCGTTTTCTTGACCTTTAATCGGTGGTGAATTTTAAATTCTAACAGACTAAGGCTATTAGGGAAACAGTCGTAGTAATAAAACGTGTGTTGTTTGGCTACTTGGGGAAGTTGACATAAAAACCTTTAAGCAGTGTGTACCCTATTTTAAAGTATCTACAGACAGAATGAAAATGTTCATCATGCGGTACGAAATCCCATTTGAGGTTTGAACTCACTTATTTAGAACTGTTGTTCACCTCTATGTGATAATTTCCGCCATGTACGCAACAATGAGATATCCAAACCTTTGTCACAATCCATTTTTTGGCTTCAGAGGGCCCACCGATGAATTCAAACGGTACATTTTAATTATGTACAATTAAAGTACGTGAAGGGTCAATGAACAACAAATGCATATAGTATTGGGGTAAGCAGTCACCAGAAGGCTGACGGTGACTTCTGAACTGAACCACAAAATGACACCCTTTCACACAAAGGTTGCGAGGCACTGCCTCTAAAAATGATGAGTTCTTTGTCTAATCATTCAAGGATCGGTAAATTTTTACAAGGGAATAACGAATAAATTCACACCGACCGTCAACTGGCAAGTCTTACCCAGTCTATGAATGAAATTTTGTCGAAATGAGCACGCAGCGGACTCGAGTTCATTAACGCGGACATACTCGTACTGGCACGAACGGCTTGTTTTCCCAGTTTTTAAATAAATTGTCAGTTGCCTATATCGCTAACTTCATTTCGTAACCCCACAAATTTAATAATCAAGGTAATATTCTGCCTCTACAATCCACTATCTGTGTTGAGTTTCCCGAGAAAAAAAAATCGCCAGCTTCATAGAGGTTTTAGCAAAGAAAACAAATTTTTATAGAAAATTTTACTGAAAAATTACCTCGCTGTCACCACACACACCTAACTCGCACGCGCTCGTAAGTCCTGTGCACACTTAACTCTTGCAGCATTCGCAGCTCCTTTTAAACACCGAACACAAATCAAAACTAGAAAGAAATGATCAAGCTCTATTATGCAGAACCCGAAAGGGGACAAAGGAATTAACAAAGGCCAAACAATAGTCGAAATTCAATGTTAACTGTACAAGTGTAGCACGCGTAATAATGCCCCCACAACCATTGAATCTTCCATGGCTGGAAGAATAAATTCTATGGTATGGCTGGTGTTCTCTTATTATATTTATGTGTTGACAATAAGGCCACACTCAATAGCGTTAGGGATGGCAGCCGCAACTTTATTTTAATAAAAATATAGCAAGAATATCCAACAACACGGCAGCAAAAAACACAAGTTCTCTGTCAATGCCGATGAGTAGAATTACAATAATTGGTTAAATTGCGCTAGTCTGTGCTCCTGAAACGATGGAAGATCTCTTGTCTAAGACCAACTACTATTTTACGTGATATAATTACAATGACGCTCAACAAATCTTGTTCCGGGGAATGCTTAGAGCTCATCCTTCGTAGGCACATCATCCTCTTCATCTACTTCTTCTTCGTCCTGTAAAAACAAGTACACGTACAAATCAACAACGGAAAGCCTCATAATTTTAGATAGAGGAAGTGTCACAGTGCCATTAGAAAAGTGAGCGATCTTAAATCAAAATAAACGCAAATACCATCTCGTTAAAGGTACAGTTTAGTAGATTATACGCCGATGTACAAACGACAGCCATTGCATTGATAATTGAGAATTTTCGCTGCGATGTTCAAACATCGATGATATTCCGCGAACAATAAGAAAAGCAAAAATTATAAAAGCAGGAGGAAAAATTGCGGAAAACGTTATCATCCGAGGAGCGCTGTCGCTATCTGATCAAGATCGCTATCCATCTCAAGTGGCAGACACAAATAAACTTCGATATTTATATGAAAATAACAAGCGCAGCTAGAACAGATCATATTATAGATAACTTATTGGCATGATAGAAATATATACACGGAATTAAAAAAGAAAGTTCTCACTCGAAAGACCCTAACTACAAATGTACGTTCAACACCACACGACCACTTCAACCAATTTCAGATCAGTCCTTCGGCCAATTTTATCAAATTGGGATCTAAAATACACGAGTCAACAAAATTAGTTTCCATTATTATCACAATCAATGAAGCTCAGAATAAATAAATCCGGCAGAACCGCTCAATATAAAAACTAAAAAAAATACTCACCGGAGTTTCTTCAACTTTTCCTTCCAAGAAATCGGACAAGGCTTCGAGAGTGCGGGCTCCGTTGTAATCGACAACCTGCAGCGAAATGCTCCAGTTCGTTGACGGTGGCGTCCATCTTGGCGATCACGATATCAGATCTGTCCTTGAACTTCTCTGCCAGCTGGTCGTAAATGGGAGCCAGCTGCTTGCAGTGGCCGCACCACGGGGCGTAGAACTCTACAAGCACGTCCTTGGTCTTGTCGAAGGCGATTTCCTCGAAATTTCTCGACACTAAAACCTGTCGTGAATGAAATCAACAATGTGAATGAATTTTACAGAGATATTTATTCAGACATTCTTGTCAGCCATGAAACACATTCGAGCTGATGCACATTAGAGCAGCTTTTAAGGTGCAGAGTGACTACTCGATCAATCTTTAGAAATGATTTTCAGTTAGAAAAATGACTCGACTTTAACACAGAGAAAATTTATTTACAATTATAGCAGATTATTTAATTTTAGGATCTCGCTGTGGCTTTCTATGGAATTGTGAAGAAAATAACGTGGCCCCTGAGCACAGATACTGTATTACTGGCACAATATTTGAACAGCGCTGCCACAACTGTCTGTTAGATAACGTTATTCTGGTTGGCGAGATTTTATCGTACGGAGGTTATATTGAGGGTTGTGAACATTACGCTCAATTACGTACTGAAAACAGAATCCCACAGAATTTCATTAATCTAAAATTAGACGAAGAAACGCAAATCGTATCGAGCGACCATTAGAGCGCGTCGATTTTTAATTTTGCCGAAGGCTTCTGTTTCAAATAGTTTATTACCCTTGTTATTTTTCCCAAGTAATAGCTTTTTTCAGTGCGGTTATTTTTAATCATATCTCAACTATTCCTATTTTTGCTTCTGACTTCCTACCGTGCCGGAAAATCACGATACAACCCAATTAACTGAGGATTCTCTTTCTAAAAAATCCTCAGTTTTTACATCATTCCACAACCTTTCAATACAACCCACAGACGAACTATCATATTGCACGAACCGAAATGTTTCGTATTAATATTGAAAGCCTATGAACCGTTTTGAAACAAAGGAACGGCATTGGCAAAAAGTATGTGGTCCGTCTCGCTCACTTTGACAGGTTGATCGTTCCAGTCGGCAGGAAGCTCTTGTGAGAGAAGGTGTTGCTTCAGTTTGCCTTCCAAGAAGAGATCGACGGTGGTGCGAAGGTTGTCCTCAGTGATGTCGTAGCTCTCGGGCTTGTACTTGGCCATGTCCTCTTCCAGCTTGATGATGCGCAGGCCGGGAACCTAGCGGTATAATAAGATATTAAACACCTGTCAACTTGAAACGAGGAACTCCATATCAAGAAACATCCTATCTCGTATTAATTTATCAAGGTTTGGGTGTTTGAAACCTGGTGCCGTAAATAGTACAAGGGCTTACAGGGCGCGTACCCAAACCCAATGTCCTGATATCACCAGAATCTGAAAATTTATTTCCTAGTGGGAGATTAGCAAGGCATTGAATAACTGGGAGGAAAACATGGGATAAAAGTTTACAATTTTCCATTTCTATCTATGAATTTTTTTAAACCAAGGCCAAATGAGAGTTCTCTATTCAATGCAAATTTGGCATTAACGAGTCTCGTAGCTAAGCATGCATAAATTTAATAAATATTAATGAGATTCGGGATGACGGGACTAAAAAATAGCAGGGTTTATCAATCCCCGGATAACTTGCTGGTATCAACTAAACACGAGTTGACGATCGAGAGCTGCTTTTAGATTAAGAAACCTTAATGAATTACAAAATGCTCGAATAAGGCAGGAAAGTGGTATAAGCCGCTGAAAAATCTAAAATCAAATACCCATAACTTGAGACCGGGATGCAGGAGATATAACAACAAATTCATTGAGACTTACTTCTTCCTTGGTCATGCCGAAGAACTCGAGGATGCGACCGTGATCTTCTTCGTCGGTATTGATGGTGACGAAGAGCACCTTGCCCCTGTAGTCCTTGGCAACAGCACGAGCAATATCAGCGTATTTGTCGTAGTGACCAGCCTCCTTGGACAAGAAGATCAGAAGGTGGGATTTGATGTCACCGCTGAAGATTTTCGATGCAGTTTCGTGGTTGAAATCAACAACTAAGGGAAGAGCGTTGCCAGCAATGAACTTCTGTACGTCTTCTTTCTTCACTTCACCTTCGAACACATTCTTCTTTTCATCGAACTCCTTGAATAGAACGATAGAACCGTCCTTGGCAGAGTACTCTGAGAAAACGGCATCATCGGAAGTAATAGCAAAAGGATGATCATCCATGGCAGCGGCGGTGGCGAGGAACTCCTTCGCATCAGTGGATTCCTGATCCTTAAAGAAGCCCACAATTGTCACGCTCTTGGATTCGATGAAAGTCTTTGCATCTTCAACCGTGGCGATAGTTTTCGCAGGAGGGCCAGTTTTCTTCAGAAGCCAGCTGACGATCTCGTCAGATGTTCTGCCGCCGCTGTAGTCAATGGGTTCTCCATTGCGGTAGAACTTGAGGGTAGGATAGCCTCTCACGCCACTCTCCTCGGCAAGGCTCGTCTCTTCTGTGGCGTCAACCTTCGCGAGTTTGATGGCAGAGCCTTGTTCCTTGAGGGCGGTGGCGGCTTTAGCGTATTCTGGGGCCAGGGCCTTGCAGTGTCCACACCACGGAGCGTCTGTAAATCAAAAGTTGAATCAGTAATTTGGAATGTATTTAAACACTAATGGCAAGTTGAAAAAAGTCCATCTTTGCACAGGAAAAAGGCTGCCATGGTATAAAAAAGTCCGCCATTACATGATTACTCATTTGATCTAATTAGTGATGATATAATATTATAGTTCAACAACCTCAATCACGACCTAGGCTAATATTCAAGATCTTCTGCACCAATACAATTCAGTAAGCAAAATCAGAAAAAGCCCTTGTTTGCACTACGTCCCCACAGCAGCAGGCAGTCTGATCGCCGCAGCAGCAGCGATACGTGTCCCTGCACACGACGCGACGTACGCACGCAGATACATCCACTGCCTCGGTCGTTTACCTCGCTCCCTCATAAGTCCACGCAACAACGTTAGACATCGTAACGGGAGTACGAATTTCAATGTATGGTAGACGTCGATCGGTGTGCCTAAGGCCATGGTTACGAGTTTATGCATTACTATAGTGAAATTTCTAATCTTCAGAGTATAATCAGCTACGAACACAGAAAAAATCATGAGGATAAAATTGAGGAAAGGAGAAAACCTTTGCGTGGTGTGGAATTTGAGATTAATACAATACCCAGCAACGGATTCGCGGCTGGATAGCGGAACTTTGACAAATTGACGTCTCTACAGTAAACATCATCATGGGATCATCCGATATGCGTCTACAAAATTCATATAGAGCGTAAGGAAATATAAGAATAGCAGAGCTGTTATAGCGTAAAGAAATACAGGAATATCAGTGCTGTTGTGTAAGGAAATACAGGAATAGCAGAGCTGTTATAGCGTAAAGAAATACAGGAATAGCAGAGCTGTTATAGTGTAAGGAAATACAGGGATAGCAGAGTTGTTGTAGTGGAAGGAAATACAGGGATAGCAGAGCTGTTGTAGCGGAAGGAAATACAGGGATAGCAGAGCTGTTGTAGTGTAAGGAAATACAGGAATAGCAGAGCTGTTGTAGCGTAAGGAAATACAGGAATAGCAGAGCTGTTGTAGCGTAACACAGCGGCTCTCATGACAGAGCTCCTCTCAGAGGCTAGGAGACGAACACGCTCTCTTTCTTCAACTCCAACGTGATCTCTGGGCGTGGCCGCCTCTGGCTAAAGCCACGTGTTACATGAATGATTCGAACGCGGGCCTACGTTCTATTATTAAATTATTTTTCGTAAACTCGACTACCATTGTTGTGCAAGAATATCGAATAAACAAGTGGTTATCCAAGCGAGTACTGATTTATATTCGGCATTGAAGTGTAATTAAGTGCATCCATCATAATTGAAAGAAAATATCGTCATTACTAAAAGGGAAAGTCAACCAAGCTCTATCGTGTTGGAGCAATTACGGGTTATTGTTACACAACAGACGTGATCACGCGAGTAACATTGATTATGCCAGTCAAATCCACGACAAAGAAAAACCATTCATGAAAAGATAAGAATCAAAGAAAAAGGCACGTAGAACTTTTTTATAAAGAACTGTTTAGGCATTCCTATCTATCATTAGCTGATTGAACCAACTACGATAGAAAACTATCACTTTACAACTAATAAAAAGATACGTTAAGATGATTGCATTGAACAAAATTAATAGTTTTCCCCATAGGAAAATTATCGCTTGCATCGGACTCGACTTTAATTGAAAAGTTTGAATAATCAACAGACGTGAAACACTCGATTGAAAACGTTCAGCGCTATTAAACACTACACTAAACTATGCGTAGATGTAAAACTACAAATCATACCCGCGGCAGAAAATAACACGGTTTCATGTGTATCAGCTGAATAATATAAATTATCAACCGAATTTCGAATACTGAAGCTAAAAACCGAAATGGGCTAATCGACGTTATGTTTTCATTCAATTAAATTTATTCTACAGTGTTTTAAACTAGTATAAGGGCAGCCTGGTGTGTCCCTGGTCCCTATGACGAGCAATTTTAGAATACTTTTATCCAAATATCCTTTATAATTAACAATTGAAAGCTAATTAGAGTAGGCCTATTTAATCCCAATTACATACATTAAACATAGAACGCTGAAATTTATAATTTGTGTCCCGATTCAAATTTCAAAATATGGAAAAAAGTTTTGTGTTTTTAAATCTAATTTATGTTTAGCAATTTAAAAATCTATTTCAACTGTTGATTGGTTTTTCCTATTTATATAGGATAAACCAATGACCAACATCTAGAGATGACGTAGCCTATCTTACCAATATAATGCATTATTGTTACACATTGGTGTTATTCCTTCGCAAGATATTGCTACTACTTCTGTGAAAAAATGCGATATGCCCTACTCGGAGTATCCGGGAAACGTCAACTATGTAAATGTGGAAAAATTCTGATCGGCAATTGAAGTAACAGAAAATGGTCAACTGCATGCGAAACAAACATTTGGCTGGACAACAGCCGACCACAGGCGGCTGCATTCATGACAGTATCATATGTAGGGATCTAGATTCCTATGTAGTGAAATACGGTATCAATGTTTGGACGATCGTGTTTCTCTCTGCCAGACCGCACAGGTGTTCAGACTGTTAGGTACCGCGACCGAAATCAATAGGCCGGTCAGCACAGGTGTTACAGATAAGAGCATCCAAGCATCATATCAATATTACCATCGGCAGAAGAAGTAGTTACAAGTAGAATCGAATATGTTGAATTATTTCAAGAGATATGACAGATGAAAAACTCCAACAGATCTAACTCAAGAAGTCAATTAACACGCTCACTAATTAGCTAATCGGTCGATGCACGAGGTTTTTGGCGGTAAAATCTAAATTGAAAGTATAGATGGACGACTAAATTATATGCGAGTAAAATTCCCATCTTCCTACTTTTGAACATTCTTTACACGCTCATTTTATCGCGTGCGATTTTCAGCAGCGAAGATTCAGCCAACTTAACAGGACATCATCCTGGACATGTAAGAGGCTGCTAGACCGTGTGGGCAGATTGCTTCATTCAAGGCTGCAGCTTTGTAAAGACTGGCGTCGTCACGTCAACATTAACCCGTTTCTTTGATAATTAATTCACGTCACGGCAGGCCGCAGGTTGCTATGAATGATCGCGTACGCACTAAAACACTACGCAGCAATGTTTCGGCACGAAAGCGATAAGTTGGTCTACGATTGTTGTAAGAGGAAACTCATTCTCTAGAGTTGTTAAAAAGAATTGCCGGAGAGAGCAAGAAGAAACTAGGTAGCTATCTACAAGCGAAAAACACCGGTCAGTCGGCGGTCACATAAAAGTCAATAGTATCGTGATGTAGGAATTTGGTATTGCACGCGTTTCCTTCTGTATTAACTCCTAATCCTATGCTACGAGCGGCTACGAGTCCACGCACAAGTTAGGTAGGCTAACTAAGAATAAGGATACGTGATATGACTAGGAGGCAAGTGCAGGACGCAGATTACAGGACTTGACCAGATGGTATTTAAGCCAGATGAACACGCAGCTTTTGGTCAACTGTCATTCTCACAATTCTCGTGTAGGCCCTACTGTACACAACTGAGGGGCTACATAATACATTGTTCAATTTATAACATGACAAGCAATGATACAATCGATTCATCCATGGTTTATCGCGACTTCGGCAACCCAAGTAACAAACAGTCTTACTCCTTGCCATGAGCGGCATACCATATGGAGCGTCCCGGTTAACCTAAATGCAAACGAAACTAAGTTACTTAAAAGTATCTATAAAAATACTCACAAAATTCAACAAGAACGAATTCATTCTCGGATATTGTCTCCTTAAAATTGGACTCTTTCAAGACCAATACGTCTTCTTCAGATGGTGCCTCATCGGCCACAATAAGCGTCACGAGGACTGCGAAGAACACAACGGCCACCCTCATTTCTTCAACGCTGCTCACAAACTGACAGCGAGGCGCTGGATATGGCCTCTGCACACCCACAGTCGCAGACGTGGCTTGGCGTGGGGCTTTCTCATTGGCTCTCAGCAATGATGCCGGACGTAACATTCTTATTTCTACTTGCTAATAATTATTTTCTACATTCATATTAATGGTTAGTGATGGTGATAGTGGACGTTTGTAGCATGATAATTTTTTTCATCGATTGGTAACACTTGAATGTTACATTTGAATATGTTAAATAGACCATTATAGCCTACAGGGCTACAATTTTGCGACATGTTGGTGACAATAAAGTGATGTGTTGGATCCCGATGCATGATGGGAGATAGCATCATCTGGCGGGTTTTTTAAATGGATTTGAGGCTCCTGGAGACTTCGCCGATGCGAGCTTGCCAAGGTACGAGGGTTCCATAATTGTGAGGGAAATTTGACGCATAAATTTTGTAAGATTGCATCATTCATACCCTTGGATTATTCTTGAGCTCTGATAGAAAACCTATGACCATAACTTTTTTGACTGTTCGTTGTTCTAATAATTCATGTTCTTTTTTCCATGAATCGTACTTTTTAGAAGCTATTGTAACCGGTACTCTAATTACGAAGCTATGAACTGTTTTCAAATTTTGGTGCCAAAGGCAAAACTTACTTCATAATAATAATTATTGAACAAAGCTACAATCGTTTTTATTTTGGGACTTGTAATGGCTTAGAAGCTATTTGAACAATTATTTTATTTGGTTAACGAATGCAGCTTGCGATGTTGGGTTTCTCTACATTCGCTGATTCGTGGCGGAAATATTTTTTTTGTGTAATTGTTATTCAAGATTATTTTTTCCAAGTTATAGTAGTGAATCACGAGTGATATCATCTAAATTTTTTAACTTGGAAAAAATTTTGGTCACTTTATCTCATCAACATTTTTTTCATCCAACATATAAATCTGAATTGTACAAATCTCGAGAAATTGTTCGGTGATTTGATGTTGTCCACGTGGCATTTTATGCGTGGACATGAAGGGACGGCTAAGTGCAATGAGTATATTATCTTATAAGGCTTTTGTTTTCTATTCAGATGATTAGAGATATAAAATTCTAAGAGAGCCTCCCAGATGATACCATCTCAACTCAGTCCTGAGAAGCAGCCGTGTGCACGGAGATAACACAAAATCAATACCCACGCCTCAAGAAACACAGGCAGAGTTTTTGAGCTAGGTTTCGCCATGCACGTCGACGTATCGAATAAATTATTAATTTAAGGTTTCTGTTTGATTTGATTATTTTCCTATAATTATTGCTTCAAATGTAGCTTATATATTTTACAATTACTTATTAGAGTAAAAAATGTGTAAAAATGAATGCCCGTAGATTCACAGATAAACTATAGTTATGACAGTACATTCTTTTGAAAAAATCGGACTGAGTTGCATCATACACTATACATCTGTGCCATGTATTCTTCGGCTGACAGCGATAAAAGTCAGTCTGGCTGGTCGCAATATAATATCCTGGACAACGTTATTTTTCATTGCCATTGCATCCCTGGCATGAGTTACTAAGTTTCCTTTCATTTGGACAACTGTGCGCATGGCGGGCTAAGTGCAGGTAGAGAATACACCTGTGCCCGTGCTGTGGCGCCAGTGCTCAACCATGGCTAAACCACAGCAGCGTCGAGGTCCTCATGTGAAAATTATCATGCAGCAACTATAATGATCTATGAGTAATGATAAATTATATCCTTTAATAGTCAAATTATGTGCAAAAATCTGAAGCAAAAAAGATTAACGGCTCTCAGAAAGGGCTCGGGAAATTTTCCATGGACAATTAATAGAGTGTGCGCCGTTTCAGTTAGCGTATCCAACACAGCTGTGCGATCTGCCGAGCATGGCCGGCACACTTGTGCGTACAAGGCGACATGCTTGTTCTCGCTATGACATCCACAATTGCGGAGCGCAAAGGCTTGAAAGTGAAGTTGACTCAGCTGCGTAAAACTCTGAGCAATCAAATTCCGGCGTTTCACTTAGAAATAAACATGATATGATGGTATATAAAGTTATTGACGAAATCGTATAGATTGATGGAGTATCCGAATAAATGAAACTAACAAACTTGATCGAAGTCCCGTTGCACGTTGAAGATTGCAACTAAGATTGTTGAATGATAAAATAAAAATTATCGAGTAACATCGATCCATTTTATATTTTTCAACGTTTATTCATTGCCATTGACCTGTTAGTAATTTCATGAGAGAAATTATCATATGTAGTGATAGATGATGATGGAATGCATTTTTAAACAATTGGCCAAATTGTTTTATTCAGCTGCATGTGAGGGAAAAACAATTATGTTCAAAAATTGTTTAATGATTGAGAATTATGTTTTTTCACCTCTAGAGAATTAATCAGGAATCAGGAACACGACAGTTTCAAGTTTAAGTTTATATTTCAACTCTACATAGTTACGAAAACCGGCAAGTCGAAGCTGTGGCCGCTTTTCAATGAACAACGTAACGCTCTAGCAGCAACACTTGTCACTTTCGGATTCAAAATGAAGCATTGATAAAATGAATCGAGAATTTAATAACAAAGAAATTTTCGAGCAAATTCTAAATTTTTTCCTCTAAACACGTTCAAGCCCTGTCATTATATATACAAAATGTGAAAAATAAGCAAGCAATAATAATAATAATAATAATAATAATAATAATAATAATAATAATAATGACATAATAATGAAAACAACAATATACGTACATGAAGGAGATTGAATTTAAGTTGAACAATGAAGGACTAAAAAAAATCTGTATATTAACATGTATAGAAATGCTCAGATCTAAAGCATTAGAGGTGGGGCTTAAAATTTTAATGTCACTCCATAATTGTGTTGGTTTCCGAAAGGTTTTCAGTGAAGTATAGGGAATTTAATTGCAATTTTATCTGCTTTACATTTTTGGATAATTTGCTGTTGAGCAATCAAACGATCTCAAAATTAATAATTTGTATATGTTGATTGAAATAAGTCAATATTTCGGACAAAAAACTAAGTTCAAAAAATAAAATATATTTTGTTGTATACTGGAAGAGTAAATCGCTCTTAGAGGTGGTCTTTTATACAAATGGCTAATCAATACAACAATATTTAATAGTGATATAAACTTATTTAATAAAATCATTTAATGATTATATTGATCTAACGCTGAATGTTTAGGTCGCAATAATTTTTTCGATTTAAGCTTTGTTTGCGACTTTTAAGGCTATACGCGGAATTCAATGCATGAACGTTATTTAAAAGCAAAGCAAAAGCCAAGAAAATTCACCACATCGATATTGAAAACGTTTCGGAGTCCAGCTCCATCATCAGTTCGACTAAACTAAAAATGAATAAAATCACTTTAAAAGTCAAAATTCAAATACAGACATAAAACCTAAACAAGACCTAACATTATATCGAAATATTTACCGATGTTCAGCACCTGACTATGGCTTCATTCGATGTGGAAAATTTGTTCACTAATATTCCTCTTGCAGAAACTATTGAAATCTGCCTCAACAAACGTTTTCAATATCGATATGGTGAATTTTCTTGGCGTTTTCTTTGCTTTTAAATTCCTTGTGAACTTGCGATATAAGCAGACTAATAATATATGAACGTTATTTGTATGAAGTGTTATTACTTCATATCAGTTCACTTAGCAAAAGTGTCGATTCAGTATGTTTATTTAAGGTTTCGTGCAAATATGTTCAGTAGTTTGGATATACCATGCACCATATATCATGTAGGTACCATATATCATGTAGGTACCATATATCATGAAACATATATCATGAATCACATATCATGAACCATATAGCATATCATGAACCATATATCACTGCGAATTTAGGTGCTTATGATCACTCAATCGACAATTCTACGGACTCGCCTGCGGACTCGCGCAACTGGGCCACTCATAATTCCTTCAATGCTTAACGGATCTGCATGAATTTTGGAATGTGAGTATTAATTATCGATACGCTGCCGCAGGAATTATTACAGATTTTTACATGATTTATTATTGGGTTAGGTTAGGTTAGGAAATAATTCATAAAAAAACTGTAATAATTCCTGCGGCAGCGTATCGATAATTAATACTCACATTCCAAAATTCATGCAGATCCGTTAAGTATTAAAGGAATTATGAGCGGCCCAGTTGCGCGAGTCCGCAGGCGAGTCCGCTGGCGAGTCCGTAGAATTGTCGATCGAGTTTATGAGTGGCCCAGTTGCTTATCTACTTATATTTTAAATTTGAATAAAATCCATTCATTATTGACGGATTTATGAGTGCCAGAGTTGAAAATGAAGTTAGGTTTTCCGTATTAACAAAAAAATTATTGATGTAAAAATCAGAAAAAATTCCGTCCGCAAATTACTGATATTATCTACTTATATTTCAAATTTGAATAAAATTCGTTCATTATTGAAGGATTTATGAGTGCCAGAGTTTCGAGCTCGCAGGCGAGTTCGCTGAAGTGTCGATTCGGTCCCAGTTGCGCGAGTCCGCAGGCGGGTCCCTAGAATTGTCGATTGAGTTTGCTAATCTACAAAGAAAACTAAAATTAATTACCAGTATGTTTCAGCACTATTATGTTATTGCTTTTTTCTCACAGGACATATGAAACAAAAAAAGAAACCTGAATTACAGTTAACATATGCCTGACGCGTAACTGATCCACATTAAATGGTGTTAGGACTGGAAAAAACTTAAAATGAATATATTGCTGGTTTTATTCATTCCAATACCAAAATGAATTTTGAGTGAAAAAACTTCATGCACTGCTTACGAAATTTTTATTTCGAAAATTTTGCCTCAGGCATCAGTGATCGCATCCCGCGTCTATCCATTGTGTACTCGCTCAATAAGCGAAGAATGTGCTGTTTGAACAGATAGTCTCTACTTAAATTTAGGTGAGCACACCATTTCCTAATTTTAAATCGTGTCAATAGAAAAATACAGTGAAATTTCTTACTTTTACTTACGTCATTCAACTCCTCATCCGTGTTGTATACCTGTGACATGATGCTCGTAGGTGTGTAACGATGAGGCTAACTTGTTAGAAGCTAACGAGACTTTTTCCTTTCCAATACTTCGCTTCGCCTAAAGAGTTTTTGCTACTTATCGGCGTTTCAAACATATAAACAAGAACTATTCATTCATATCATAAATAATTATCCGAATTTTTAATGAACAGGGAAGTCAAAGCTCATTGCTAATCTGATTTTGTTGCTGAATGCTGACTTTGACTTTCTAATAAGCCTACCCCTACGTTTTTCTAATCTAGCTACCAGCCTACCACATCGATAAATCTATTCTAACACTACAGGTGAATTGTGTCATGGTGATATCTTTTAACATGAACCTTAACATCCAAACTCCAAAGAGAAATAATTATGAATATGTTCTCCAATACCTACTAGGGTAAACGCGGTATATTCCGACATCGTAGGTAATTCCGTCACTTCTCTAGTTTTTCCTTTATATTAAGCTTTGTTTTAGTTCCATGCATGGTGGCAGGGAATTATTGTGAGTACTTATGCGTTTGCAAGAGCATCGACCGGTCCGATTTTTTTAGCTTATAGCCGTGGCCCCTGGTGTTGGTTCTTGTTTCAAATTCTAGTAACCCTTCAGGGACCTTGTATAGACAATGAGTATACTGAGGTCCCCACGCAGACGTCGATAACTGAGGCTTGGAAGCTTCATAATCTTCAATCTTTCTTCATGAGACTGTTTCAGTGTTTCCTTTCCAATACTTCGCTTCACCTAAGCCCTAAAGTGTTTTTGCTATTTATCGGCGTTTTAAACATATAAACAAGAACTATTCATTCATTTCATATCAATCATAAATAATTATCCGAGTTTTTAATGAATAGGGAAATCAAAGCTCATTTCTAATCTGATTTTGTTGCTGACTTTGACTTTCTAATACCTACCTAGGACCTACGTTTTTCTAATCTAGGTACCACATCATGACATCGATAACTCTATTCTAACACTACAGGTGAAGGCTGAAAGGTGATCTCTTTAAACATGAACCTTAACATCCAAATAGAAACAATTAGGGTAAACGCGGTATATTCCGACATCGTAGGTAATTCCGTCACCTCTCCAGCTTTTCCTTTATATTAAGCTTTGTTTTAGTTCCATAGGGATTTGGTAGGTTTCCATTCTAAAGGCTTTTTAATAAATATGGCAACATTTTGTGACGTTTCATTGTTGCTGACGCGTAGTGAAGTGTTTTGAGAGTCATGTGAAGGCAACAGAACTTACGTAACGCATACGGTTTTTTTTTATAGTTTTTCATTTCTCGATGCGTCCTTAATGTGTCGGAATGTACCGCGTTTACCCTATGAATAAATTGAATATGTTCACCAATACTGAATTACTATCTAATTCAGTACGTAATTGTGCTTAACTGCAAAATTGCAAATGACTCAACATAGGTCTGGTTAGGCCACTGCCCACTGGCTACCTATACTCTATACTCAGTCTATAGCTATACTATAGTCACCTCTCGGCTCTTGAGTCTCAGTCCACTGCCCTTTTGAAGGCATGAATTTGAAATATTGGATGGATTCCTATAAGCCTGCAAGAAGAGAAATTTTTTGTACCTATATATATTAATGGAAATTGCAAGAAATTTATAGCTAGGATTAATAATTCTTTGTTATTATTTTCTCATCCTTTCTGCCTTGAGTTCATCCCTAATTTATTTAAAAACAAGTGTGGATCATGGATGTTTAATCAGTCTTATTAGAGGCTAGCTAGCTGCTGGGAAGTTAGCGTGAGACTTAGTAATTTGCGCACAGCAATAGTAAAATGAATTTTTATATACCTAATTTTATTCTTTATTTAGACCTTTTGAAGCCTAAAACTATTTAAAAATCCATAACATTCATTAGATATTTTTTTTTTGTATATAGAATGGAATGGAATCAAAACTATTTACCAAGAATGTAAAAGCAAATAGAATAGGGCAGTAACAAAACCAAAAAATTAAAGGTCTTCATTTTCAATGAAGATAAAAGGAATTTAATAAGACATTTATTGATATTAAATAGGGTAAACGTGGTATATTCCGACACTTTAAGGATGTAGCAAGAAATGAATGGCTATAGAAAATACACCGTACGCGCAACTCAAGTTCTGTTTGCTTTACGTCACCCTCAAAACATCGCACTATGCACCAGAAACAATGAAACGTCACAAAATGTTGCTATATTTATTTAAAAGCCTTTAGAATGCAAACCTACCAAATCCATATATTCCAACACTGTGTGCGACTAAATTTGGCATTTTGTGAGACTAATTCCGGATTTCCGGCTGCGCTTCCAACTACTAATTCGTAATGCCGACACTCTTGTGTTTGAATTCCTATCGCTGTGTGAGCTGTATTGGAATACGACACAGCTTGGAATTAAGCGGCCTCTAGACGCACAATATTATTGCGCAATATTTAGGTTTGCACAATATTATTGACCATCTAGGGGCGATATTGACGGACTGCGCAATATATTGCGTGATTTTCAGAATCTTGTAAATATATTGCGCAAACTGGAAGATATTTTGCCGTGTAGGGGCTATATTGCGTAATGTTTTGTCAGTGTGTCCCCAGTGGTCGTATGGAGCAGTTCTACGCTTATCTACACGTCATTTTAGCAACATGGTTTACATCATGGCAGATGTTAAGAAAGCTGATAAAGAATTTATGCTGGAATTCATCGAGGTGTATCGTGGTCTCCCAGCTCTATGGGATGTCAAGTGCCAAGACTATGGAAATATCCTTGCAATACCCATCAATATGTCTTCATTGCTTCAAAACACTCCTGCAGGCACCTCATCACAGGAGCTAGGTACATACCAATTTCGCTACTTTTCAGTAAGACGTTTTTCCCGAATTCGTGATGGACTTCATTCTCCAAAAAATCTCACATATTTTTCTTCATAATGTAGTGTGATTTTTTCAATAAAAGGTTCTAACTAAATGACAAAATTACTTACTTACCTTAATGTATTCTTTGAGGCAGTTGATCAGAGCGGTGCAAGCTTCCATAACAATGTTAGATATGGACTGAGGTGACAATGCAGTTAGAAATTTCATATCTTCGAAGCTATTCCCAGTAGCTAGATAGCGGAGGGTTATGGACAAACATTGGGTTGTAGGAGTAGCATCGCGCTTGATAGAGCTGCTTTTACCAATTGCAGGAGTAACCAAAGCATGGAGTTTGTCAAAAAGTTTGGAAATCATTAGGTTCAATCATTCTCAATTCATTAAGTAATTTTTCGTGGGTGAACTTCTCTCTGTTGATGAACCATGTTTCGACCATTTTCTACCTTTTTGCAAGCCTCTCTTACTTTTTTTACGACTTGCTGACACAGCAATTATTACGCAGCACAAGTCATTATCGTTCAACATGTTGGCTACGTGAAAGTCTGGCTGGCACTGTTTGCGCAGTACAGTTGCATGTCTGGGGGCGTAATTGCACAATATATTGCGCAACCCATCAATATGGCCCCTACACGCTCAGTAATATTGCGTAACCCAAAATATTGAACAATAATATTGAGCGTCTAGGAGCTGCCGTCAATATATTGTGCAAACCATATTGCACAATAATATTGAGCGTCTAGAAGGCCCTTAAGAACACTATTGAATATTGAATACTACTTAATTAGGCTTTTAATTATGAGCTATCAAGCTTTTAATTAAGAAAGTTTTAATTTTTGCACACAGTTTGGAACGAGCTGTGTGTGTCTAATTCCAAGCTGTGTCGGAATTAGTTTTTATGTGTCTAAAACCGTCTCTTAACTTGATCATCTATTAATTTTTTTACCACTTGAAATCAGCAAATACAAGTATACATAATGGATTCCTAATATATTCACAGACGTATTTAAAAGTCTCAAACCATAATATTCCTTCTACACAAACAGTTTATAACTATTTGGTAGAGCAAAGTCAACTATTAACTTTGACACATTTTTTGATGTTCTCACTGGGTGATGCGCACTGTCTCTCTTTGGATCTCATCATTTTCCCGCCAGACGGCCCAGACCTAGTGTTTTGGCAATGGTATGGCGCTCAAAAGTATGACGTCACTATTTCAACCATCAACGAATGCATGGCACTAAGAAAAAGCTTAATATAAAGGAAAAAAGTCAAGAAGTCCACAATGTTGGAATATACCGCGTTTACCCTACCTGTTTAACAGTTGATTAAATTTAACATGTGTCCCTAACAGACAACAGTCAACTCCCTTTACCTCCTAAAATGAGGAAACAATTTAATTAATCAGTCAATGTATTATTTCATTTCTTGTTTTTATTATTATTTGCATAATATTGATTTAGTTTTGTAATTTCAATGCATCAATGCATTTTATAAAATCAATAACTATTCAGATACTCAGAATCATTCAGAGTATGTACATGAGCGGATGAGGATTGATGAGCCCTTATTATATTAGATCAAAAAATCTAAACCTTAGAGATTTTCCTGTAAATTTAGCTGATAATATGAATCTACTAACCAGGCTGGATCAATCTCTATTATATGAAGCATTATCCCTGGAATTCCACCCAGTGTGTCACTCATAAGGAACATCAGGCAGTGACTGGCACATAGCCAAAATATAAGATAACATATTTTAACATGATTAAGATTAAGGATAAATAAGCAATCAGGTAACAACAACGTATTAAAAAAGTTACCCAAGAATTTCTAGCTTCAAAAATGTATGGTCATAAAGCATCTCACATTTGGTTTGAGGGAAATAAACTTTTTTTTTGTGATCTCGATATAGAATCCTGTATAAATAATAGATTGTTACATGTTACACAAATACATAGAAAACAATTATAAACAGTATAAATCAATTCAGTTATTAAACAAAGTAATTAGTATGGGATGACCATTGCTACACCTGAGTACTTAATCTATTGAGAGGTTTTGGTGGAATGAATCTAAATACTAAAAGTTGGAACTAAGTTAACTATTGTCATATTCGTTGTGGTGATGTTCACATATAAACAAATCTTCTTTTACAATTAAATCTAATTTTAAAGTTCTAAATAGTTTTTAGCACATTTTCTCATTTATGGAAAAAATGGACTATTGTGCTCGCCATGTCCGTCTGTCCGTCCGTCCATCTGTCCATCCATCCGTGACCTCAAGTTTTTGTCAATGAGAAAATGCGCTCTCTGTCACTCACTGCTGTGAGTACCGAGTTATATTTTTTATATATTAATACAAAATGGTGAATGGAACTGTTACAGTCACTTTTATTCACATATTTTAGGGAGTTAACTTTGACTAACTAAAAGCTTACTCTCCAGTCTCCATGTTAGGCTGAAAAGCAGTTAAAAGATACTGTTACTCAACTATTGAATATTCCATTATATATATTTAACTATTCCATTTATTGCATAGAAATCTGATTTTACACATGCACCCGTTTCTACACCTGGTTTGATTTTCTTCTGGAAAGTGAAGTGAACAATTTGGTTAAAATTGTCAATGTTTTTGGCTCCAGGGACCACAACAAGGATGCTAGGAGGCTGAACTTTGACTTTTTATTTGCAGGTTCATATATTCAGCATCCCTTTTGTTAGTTTTGTATAGTCCCTCCCATTCATTAAAAAAAATTTTTTGAATATAGTCTGAACATGCTACAGTTGCAACTTTTTTAGGTTCATCTTATTTCTCTACAGTTGTCACTGGAAAATCTTGTCAAATTTGACAAATATTGACAATTTTGTTGTTGTGTTATCTTTGTAATTTAATTGGAATTATTTTACTTACAATCTTCTCATACACTCCTCTTCCTCTTTTTTTCCAATTCCTAATCAGCTTGTTTGCATTTTGCTATTTCTGGTTGGTGGGTATTCTTGGAATTCATACAGTGCTGCAAGACTTTCATATCAAATTCATTCATTTTGTTTAGGATGCAAAATTCAATCCCTAACTTCATCCTCTTCTCCATCAACATTGCTGTGACAAATGCTAATTCCTGTATTTTCATTGAAGCTCAAAAGTTTTTTCTGCTTAACCACCCTTAGAATAGACATGGTCAAAATGGAGAGCAAAAATAGGAATAGATTATTTGTGTGAAGTATATGATTTATATTTAGACTATAAAACCCATGAGATTATTTCATGAAATAATAAATTTGATTCCCATTCATGCATGTTATCCCTAGAAAAAAATTACCAAAAAATGCATATAATTTTCAATATCATGCACTTTGTTTGTTGAAAATATAGTGCATTAGAAGATATGTTACCAAACTGTTGCATATGACACTAACTCGATGAGAAAAATGATTATATGAGCACTTTTACGTCTTTACTGCTGTTAAATAGTTTTTGAAATGAAAAATTTCAAAATTGTTATACGATGCAATTTATCTAGGATACAACAACATGGGATCAATGGGAAACCAGAGATTTTGAGTGCCAGCTGTACACACATACTCTAAGAAACCTTATATAATAACTATTAACAAAATACCAATTTATCACAGGCTATTTCTGGGCTCCAAAACAAATGATCTTTTCATGAACAAAACTGAACAACAACTGATTGGTAACACTGAAACAGGATTTTACTTATTATGTGGGGATAAAACCCTACAAATTGTAGTTCTTGTGAATATTATACGTTTTGTAGTTACCAACTGTAATTTAAGTGCAGTCTATATCTGCTGAGTTGCAACTTATATGTTTTTGGAGATAAAACACTCAAATATATATTTATAAGGAAATGTTACACATTCCACTAATTATGTATTTTGTCACATTCAATGCTGTTGGAAACAGTGGTGCAGTTCAATAAGAGGATTGTGTCGTTTTCAAACCATGGGTTTGGCTTTAAAACCCCAAAAAACCCTTATTCCATGGTTTTCAAACCATGGAAGGGATATTTCAAATATATATAATTAAAGTGAATATCTGCTCTGCCACACCTGACCCTCTAACCTCCCCCCCCACAAACAGAAACCCTACCGCAAAGTTGGGGTTTACCATAGAACCATATTTTTGTATGATATTAGATATTGGTTTTCAATATTCCTTGGCTTCAAACTGCAAAAGAAAACCTATGAAATAGTTAGAGAAAAGGCTTCCACTCTTGCTTACTGAAGAAAAGAAAACATAAAATAGATGTCAGAAGAATTTTTCCCTAGTTCTGTTAATGTAGGTAATTGCTATCTATTGACTAGTACTACTTACAATTGGCAAATAATTATGTTTTGCTTTCCAGACGAGCTGCCATGGCTACTGGGCTGCTGTCCCTGAAGTGGAATAACCACCGATCAACCTTCTTCCATGTCCTTTCTAATATTCGATCAAAAGTGAGTACATTGCTTTGGTTGCTTGAGAAATTTTCAAGGTATTTACACTTAGTAGGTCGTTTGGTTGGTTGAGAAATTGTCAAGGTATTTATGCTTGGTAGATCTCTGGGTTAGATTTTATATTAATGATGCTTGATATATCTAGCTGTGGTAATATGTTATATTATCCCATTCCCTGACGTGAGAGATATTGCAAAGAACTTCCATCATTAAAAACAAAGCATGAATGGCAATATGGATTATTACTCATTTTCAGGTGCACATTAGTGATTGTCTAACATTACGTGCAGAGTATAATGTTATGTGTGGTTAATTCTTTTGCTAAGATCTAATAACGTGGCCAGTAAGATAAATCTGCAGGTACATGACCCCTTTTGTTTCAGCGATCTTAAGAGCCTACATTCAAATACTTGCCAGCAAAATAAGTTTGATATTTATGTAGTACACCACAAATAATAAATGTTGAAAATATAAAGCATTTGGTTTGGTTGTTCCTTGTTTTGACTGTACATATTTTTAATATTCAAGTTTCTGTCTTCATTTATAATATGAGGCTGACAATGCATTAAATAACGTACTAAGTGTTAATATCACCTTTTTTAGTAAGTATACAGTATTCAATATGTTTACCTCTCTGTGTGCAGGAATCCTACAGTGATGTCACCCTGGCCTGTGATGGGAGATTTTATTCTCTGCATAAGTTTGTGCTGTCAACTTGTAGTGAATATTTTGAGGAGATGTTTGAGAGGACACAGTGCAAACATCCTGTTATAGTCTTGAAAGACATCAATTCTGAAGACTTGGAAGCCTTGTTGAATTATATGTATGTTGGTGAAGTTAATGTTGTGCAGGAGAAATTAGCTGGGCTTATCAAAGCTGCCGAGTGTTTGAAAATCAAAGGCTTAGCAGTTCCTGATGAAGATCCTATGGAATCTAAAGATAATTCTAGTATAGGTAGAGAACAACACAAAAGATCTCAGAGAGGCGAGGACAGCCCTCGTGCCAAGAGAAGAAGAAGAGAGAACTCGTCGGATGTTTCTGAAGAAATCCTCAGTCCTGTGAGGTCGCGACCGAGTGGTAGAAGCCGAGACCATCACCACCACCATCATCACCATGGCAGTCACAATGCCAAGAGTGCGCCTGTAGCTCCTAGTGGAGATAATGAAGATGGCACCAGAGAGACCCAAGGGCTCACTGATGCCTCTGAAGAGGCAGAAAATTCTTCCATTAACGCCAACAGAAGATCTGAAGGCTCTAATAAAAATAAATCTTCTAGTCAAATTAAAAGTAAAAGAGAACCAGAACAAGTGAGTTGTATCAAACAGTATTTCTTTAGAAACCAAACTCTATTATAAGTTTTTGCTGCCATACATAGACGTTTTCTAAGCCATGATATTGCTGCTTTTAGCCCAAATTTACAGTCAACATTATTGAGAACCAGGTTATTTTAGCAATGCAGAATAGTTCTTAATATAAACTTGTAAAACGAATACTTCTTTAGGGATTTGAGACCACCAGAGCCACTTCGAAGGTTGTTCATGTTCATGCATGAAACACTAATAATTCACAAGTCATATTCATTATTTATTTTTCATGCAGATGATGCTAGATGGAGAAGAAGAAGGTGACGTCAAAACGGAGCTACAAGAAGCAGACAATAACGACGTAGAGGAGGTAGACAACAAAGCATCGCTACACGAGCAGCTCGGTCTGGACATGCGTGACGCGTCCAACGAAGACTACGACAACGCGGCGCTGCTTGATGAACAGCACGACGAGTCGAACCTCGCGGGCGCGTCGGGATACCAGGAGGTTAGTGTGGCGTCATTAGCTTAGGTTATAGACTTTTTTATGTATTTAACTAGTGTTGTTATAGACTATTGCATTTAACTAGTGTTGTTATAGACTATTGCATTTAACTTGTGTTGTTATAGACTTTTGTGTAATGGTTTGGTCCGTGTGAGTCTTTAGTCTATATATAGAGAGATGAATGCATCGTGATTTGCATTAGTATATGTTAATTTAATTGCAAGGCTGTTTATGGATTTCCTCAAGTTTCGAAATGGTTATTCATTCTCGTTGTTTTGTGTTAATTAAGAGAGCTACAGAAATAAAGTACGAGTTATTTATTCTGCTTTATGTATAAAATGACTTTAATTATTATGAGTGTAAGGCGCTGAAATCTGAATTGATTGGGAATAATTGAACAGAATTCACTACCAGATTCACTCGTGTTCCAAATAATGAATGACTATTTATATTTTGCGCGGCGACTGTTCCAAATCATGAATGATTATTTATATATTTTGCGCGGCGACAGAACTCGTTCTTATGGGAGGGAGATGGCAGCCTCTCCGGCTTCTCTGCTGAAGGCTTCACGAGTGAAGCGTCTCAGGCACGTCAGATGGTGAGTGTTGCTTCTCTTCTTATCTTGAGACCAAAACTCGTCAGAAAGTTTGTTACCGCGTGCATCACTTCATGCATATCATGAGAAAATTGTGTAAAAACAGTGTTCTATCCGAGAAAGTTTGTTACTGCGTACATCACTTCATGTATATCATGAGAAAATTGTGTAAAGACAGTCTTCTACCCGATGCAATTCTTCACGCATCTTCATAAGAGAATAATGCAATTAAACAATTAGGCTGTCAGCCGCTTAGTGCTCCACATGGAGAACGATTGGTCCTAAAATTTCGAATCATTTTGTTCCTGCCTATAAAAAAAATCGTTTGGAATTAACTCATCTCATGTATGAAGCTCTTGACATGTAAATATTCTGGTTAGTTTGACAAGTGGTAATAGCTCTATTTTTAGTGGATGAATGTATATTCTTTCAAAATTGTTGTATTTTTTGCAAATGTAAACTTGAACAATTTTTGCGACTGACAAGTTAAGGGCTAGGACCATGAAAATTCTAAAAAATGGCCAGGACCATGAAACAAAATTGAAGTTTAGAATCACTTGTACTGATCAAAACATGGTAACAACTTTATGATGAGTATTGGTCTCATGTCTACATATGTTGGTGGAAGCAGCTTAGCAAGTTACCATAGTGGAATCATTCAATAATGTAATTTTTGTAAATTTAATACCAATTTTTGCATAAAAAGTTTTTGCCAGATATTCTTCAATGTTATTGGAAAATCGGTGAGTGACGAGAAAATAAACTCATCTTGATTTTTATAGCTTACAATTTAGGCAATGAATAAGTCTTTTTGCGCTCCCTGAAATGAAATCGTGTTCTTTTCTTGAGCCAGTGCGATGGCCTTGACCAGTAAGATCTTGCCGAGCTCTTCCATTCAACAAAATATTGTGTGTCTCGTGGCTTAAGCACACATCAACCCATCAGCCAAGCCTGATCTATTTTCATCCATTATTTCTTGGCAACAAATCACAATGAATGAATTATTTTTTTTTGTATAATTTGAACATTCATGACCCTCAACACGGATGAAAAAAAAATTATCGATGCGGCTGAGTGTGTGCCTGAAGACAGGAGCAGTTATGCTATAAATTATTGTCAAGATTAATTTAATATGCAACGTTTTATGTTCAATATTGGTCGGCAGCTGTAATACGCTGAATGTTAAAATCTTCTTGTCCTAAAACAAGATTCTGCTGAAAGAGAATATTTTAGTTAATCGGGTTTCCATGACCGAGATGAAATAACCAGACTAAGAGGTGTAGTTGGAACATCGTAGAAATAAGCTCTACGTTACATATTTTTAGTCTGCGGTATCACTTAACACGGATGTGAAAAATCCATGTTTTTTGTCATGGTTTGTTCTATTGATCTATATTCTTATACTAGTCTCTACGTTGTGAAACTGCCACCTTTTTTTATGAATGAACAACTGTACAAGTAATACAGAGTAGCGAGTAAGAGAACTGATCGTGCACATGTGCCGTACTTGGAGATTCGCTGAGATATGTACGATCGAATGGATTAAGCAGAAACCCGTTACTTTGAAGTACGTATCCAGGTCGTTAAATCGAAAATATTTACTTTACATTATTACATATGCATTTTTATCTCAGACTAAATCGTGGTACTGCAATAACACAGTCGTTTACCTGCCAGTCAGCTTTTTCATTGTATCCGTAAACTACTACAATATTGGAGCTCCAAAAAGCAAAGAGTTTTTTCCACTTTGCACCAACTGTCACGTCAAATGTTTGTGTTGTTAAGCTTTATGTGTTGAAATTTTCTGCTATCGCTGATTATGTCTTATTTATGTCTTTAATACTTATTTATGTAATTTTCATAGTTTAGTTGATACGTATGCATTGAAAGTTACCAAATCTAATTGTATTTGCATGCGCAACTAATGTATTGATCTTAGTGTTTTCGATTCCCAGCGCGTGAATCTGAATTTAGGTAGAGAAAGCCCACACTATTTCAATGCTAGGTGTATCAATGACAATCGCTAGCAAGACGTGATCAGCGACTCACAAATGTGTAATCAATTAAAGGAATTTATTATGCTTCTTCGCTTCGAGCGTGTAATGCTGCTTTGCATATTATTTTATGGATATCACGAGTGGCCGCGAAATTATTTCAATATTTTAGTCACTTTCCTGACTATAATGTTCCTAATGTTGTATTAACTGAACATTTTATGAAGAGTTACCCTTAGTCAGATATTTTTGAATGAGAAGATGTCAAATCTATGATATTTTTCTGGTGTGTAACTGAAACTCTTTGAATGTAAAGAGAAACATAAATGTGAGCGTTTCTTGCGTGTTATTTGAGTAACATATGTTGCTTATTCCTTAGATCGGTATTGTGTAATGAAATTATTGTAAGAAATACTGTTGTCATTATAAATACTTCTCCGACTAAATAGCAGTTTATATCAAGGGTTAGACTTGGAGGTATTCCGACATTTCGTTATTCGAGTGCAATTGTTGGGCGCGAATGTCAGGCTGCACAACACTCCAGTTACATGCGACTTCCTCTTTGACTCCATGAGCCTAAGACCCGTGTTCTCCCGTATAGGTGCCACCGTCAATCCTGTCGTCCGTTTGGTATTCGCGCGACCTGCTCGAGGGTCGCTCTGATTTCCCGTCTGTTGCTGAGTCGTCTGGAAAGTCGTCGAGTAGTGAACGGCCATTGATGTCATCAGACAAAACAGGCGCTGCCCAAAGAGCCGCAATGCCTGATGCGGTTCGTTTAAGGCGCTATGAGTGTTCGAATGTGCCTCCCTGCGGCCTCTCCTTCAACAGCCCGTCGGAGCTCAAGCGCCACATGCTTGTTCATACCGGCGAGCGTCCTTATAGTTGTCCACAGTGCGCTTACAGCTGTAATAGAAAATTTAATTTGCGCCAACACTGCTTTTTACGTCATCAAATTTCAATGAAGCATCCCATGTGGTTATGAGTATCCAGAACCATGCACGGAACATCCCTGCTAGAGGACCATGGTCAAGATTTTGCCTCGAAGTCCAGATACAGTGATCGTCCAAATACGAACGATACGATTTTGTACGACGTTGCTGAAATCATACCGACAGATATATTTTTGACATGCTTGGGTACAATGGTATCATTTATTTAATCATAATTATTTATCGTGTTGTAAAATCTGACATTTGCTGGTTTATATGCTAATGTTGCCTCAATTGACTTCGAAGTGCAGGTATTCTTAAACAATATTTTGAAACGTTCAATACATTACTGACTTATTTCATAAAAGATATTATTACTCATCTTTGCTTAGTTCCATGCAGTCGGTGAAGTTAATTTTCTATTGCTTATGAGAGATCGCATCATATCTTATTAGGCTTCCCCTCATTGCATTACACATCGTTGTGTGTGTAATGAACAATAGACTTATTTTATTGCACCTGATGACTCTTTTTTGTGACATTACTATCACAAGTACGAGAGAAATACAATAATTATTGCTATAATAAAATATTTGTATGATACTTGGATCTCTTTTCCTCTTGTAGTTCATTGTCCGAAGTTCTCAAGAACGTGGTTCACCGATAGTTTAATTCATGATCGTATGTGCGTATGTGTTGAAATTGTTACCATACTGCGATATTTTACTGTTATTACTTATTACTAATCTAATGGCTAATCTAAACAAAATTGCTAATCTAAAAAAATGGTTGTAACTATCATTGTATGCGAGGTTTTCTTTTATACTTTGTAAACCGCGGAGAATGTCGTTGCAGTGCATGAGCGAGGCGATGTTATGATAAAGGATAATGGTATTCTATGATCTGTGTTGCAGTAAATATAAAAATCCATATTTTTGGTGCTTGATTTAGCCTTTTTATGATACATTTATGATCCTTTGCAAGTTTAGTTAGTTGGTGTGAGCTTGTTAGCTCTAGAAACTCATCACTTAGATATTTTTCTGATGTGATCTTGATCTTATATTACGAGTTAACGTATCGCTATATCTTGAAATTTTTTTTACAAGGCTGGCACTTAGCATTCTACTTTTGGAAATGTTTCTCCACATTCTTGTTTTAAGAGAGTCATAATTCACGTAATTTATTCGCAGGACTTTAATAAAAATCTCGATGAGCGATTCTCCTGTGGATCGATTGCGTCACTGTTCATTTGTGTCTCTTTGACTCCACCTCTCGCTGTCTGGTAGCCTCTCCGCGTTGACTGACAGCGTCTTGTTCTTGTCTTAGGTCGCTCGGTCTCGACACTGCACGCCTCGCGACCGCGTCAACTCATCGTCGACTCTTGCTTTTGATTTGCCAAACGGCCGCTTGCTCGCAGCCGGATCCAAGACAATACCATACGACGGACTCGCATTATTCCCGAAGACTCGTCCCTCTGAAATGCCATTCTCTGATACCAATTATTCAAGCATCTCTGGTACAACTGATGAGTCGTCACATCGACTCGCTTGCCAATACTGCGGACGTAATTTCACGCAGATGGCCGACTTGAGGAGACATCTGCTTACGCATACTGGAGAGAAACCATACGTGTGTCCTCACTGCTTCTTCCGCTGTGCCAGGAACGATAACTTGGTGCGCCACATCAACGCTGTGCACAGAACTCAGTTAATGCATCCACATGTTGCTGAGATGTAACCAACACTGGAACGCGCACGCAACGTCATTACGAAGTTGCTGTTTCAACGACTGATTCCGCTTGTGTGTAGCTCCATAAGAACTACGTGGTCGAAATTTTGGTGCCTTTTTAGTGAATTGTTGTGACCACTCGATATTGAGCGGCTTGATGACTATCTTGTGTTAATATTATAGTCTTATACTGAACAAAACCTTGAACTGTCTCAATGTTTTGATATTCGGTGAAGCAATTAATTCAAAGTAGGCTAGATGACTACAACGTACGTGCCTGAAAACGTTGAGAAAGATGATCATTTCGAGGCTAATATCTTTGTTGTTAATGACTGCATGTGCGTCATCATTTTGATTAATTTCTATAATGAAATGCGTGATTGCGGATCTTAGATTACCTTGGCTTGAGTGTTGTGAGGTAGTGCCTCTGACGCAGCTCTTGTCTCTCTCTTGTAGGTCGAAGTCTCGGTCCCCACACCCTCTCACTCGCGCCAATACGGCGGCCGTATGAAAGGCGATGCGTATGATAGATCCGTCCAGCCAGTTTCTGCGAGTGTCGTCTCCTGCGAGGGCACCGTTGCAACAACAATCTGCAACCAGTCCATTTCAGTACTCGACCAAATAGCAACAACTAACAACGTCGAACAAAGAGGACGATTGCGCAAGCTGGACGTTCAGGAATGGACTACGTTAGCAGAACGTTCAGTTGCGGGTGGAGGACAATGTCTGCTGTGTAATGCCGTATTTCCCGCACAAAGTCATCTGCAGCGACACCTTCTCACTCACACTAGCTTACGACCCTATGCCTGCCCGTACTGCCCTCATACTTCTGCAAGGAAAGACAATCTCAAGGCGCACATCCTTGCTAAGCATGAAAAGCATTGAAATGTGTTTTTTAGTTGCTACCTTCATTCATCAGCAATGGAAGACAATCCTAAGGAACGTCGGTGAAGGAGTATTGAAATGTGGAGTATTGAAATGTGCGTTTTTAGTTACATGCTTTTGTGTTTGTCTTTTCAAACGGTACAAATACATTATATTTCATGCTCTTATTTTAGTGTTTGCTCAGTTTGGGCTCGCAAGAACGATTTATGTAAACCAAGCGCATACTTATAATATAAACGATTTTAGTTTGTTATTGTGTCGGATAATAGCTTAGACTTTCTAAGTATTTTTATAGTATAAAATGTTTCGTTGTTATTTAGGTGAAATTTAATCCACCTGCGTGTCACGGCGTTGCAGCATCGTATTTTTGTATTACTTGCACTATTTTTCAGTTAAGCTCTTCGGTTGCAAATTGTAGTTAGTGGTCTTGGACATCGTTTGTTTATATGAGGGAGAATATTGGTCACATAGCTGCAATAACTGGACTCAAGGGCGCTTTGGTGTGTCAGCTGCCATAATTGTGTTATTTACGCAGTCGCTTGCAGTTCACTCGTGCATGTAATGTTGTTATCGGTGTGAGTCGCGTGAGTTTTCTTAAATAGTGGCGTTTTCCTCTCGCTAGGTGCAGGAGAGCTCGCCTACTCGCCTTGTCCTTCCCCTTCAATTGAGCGGCTCACACCTAAACGTCACCAACCGTACGACTGCGGCTGGAGGAGTCGTCTCGAAGAGCCTGGCTACCTCCCTCGCCGGCTGTGTCGTGCCCGACGTCTCCACAAAGCCCTTTAGATCAAGCAGCAGTAACGCACGCGTTGCGATTACCAACGAAACTACCCCGTCTGGTGTTGATAACGTACCGGTTGCATGCTCGCTGGGCTACAATAATGAGCTCATCCACTGCCAATTTTGCACGAAAGTCTTCAGGTTCCGCAGCGAATTTTTACGACACCAGCGTACACACACGGGCGAGAAACCTTTCAGTTGCAGCGTGTGTGGCTGCAGTTACACTCAACTGTGTTCTCTCAAACGGCATTTCCTTGCTGCGCATCCACTAGCACCGCAACCAGCATATTTTTTAAAATGATTGGCCTGACCCTTTCATTATTATTTATTGCATCACTTTTTATTCACTGTTGTGCATGTAGTACATATACTTTAGATTTGTGGTTCAAACAAATTTTTGTCTACGCTCTTGCTACCATGTTCTTCGTCGGTCATAAGTTAAGGCGTTACGGAAAACCATTAATTGATAGATGTAAAAGGTATGTAACTAAAACGTTAATCCCCACTTCAGACGTAGATTAGTTCTGGTTTAGACTCCAGTGTTGTTTATATTAATAAATTATTTAATGGTCACGTAAGGATGCGGTGATAACTGTTGCAGCCTGCGTCACCCTTCGTCTGAAATTGCTTCTAAATTGTATTGACGGGTACCCGCATTGAAATAATCTGGAGTTGATTATTCGGAGATTTATATTTCTAATATAAAAAGTTGTTCTAAGTTGTAAGTTGAAAGAATATTTAAAACTGTGATGTTTACGGAGTATGTGCTTTGCGTTGTATTTTGATTAATATATTGGTTATATATTTCGCGTTTACTGTTTCCATTAAAATTAGTACAGCAACATGTTCAAGCTAAGCCACTGATCGGGCTTGGGAATGTTATGTGTCCTGCATGTGAGCTTCAGCTTAGTGTCAATTTATTCCGATTGAATACTACGTGCGGCTGTACCACGAGATTTTTAATACACGGCTGGGTAATTTTTGACATCTGTTGTTTCATTCAATAATGTTAAATCAATATAGAAACCATTGTGATACAAGTCTGTTGCAAGAAAATTGATCTGCCTGCTTATCAATGCTTGTCAATAAGACGACGAAGTTGATTTTATAACGGCCAGCCTCACTTTACATGAAAGCCTCAATACTTCTTGTTAGCGGTACCTGCGTATTGTAGCAGTTGACCGGGACATGCATGCTGTAATGCTGAAAAGCCAAGTGGTAGTTTCGACAAGACGTGCGTTGTGAGGTCGCTAGTAACCCAGGCTGTTTCTTCACTTACAGATGCCGGGCCCTCATAACGCCCCCTTACGTGACACTCACTTACTGGCTTCATCTTCTATCTCCAGTCATTTACCGACATCGAGTAGCGCGCCTATCGGCACCAACTGGCTTGTATCGTCACGTCAACCTGCCAACTGGCAAATTTCACCAAGCTCTGACGTTCAAGAGACATCTTCACAGAACACCGACACATCTTCGTTCAAGGCTATTCCTATCTTACAAAGAAATCCATCTGATCCCCATGCAAACCTCCCTAATACTCATGACGGGAACGTCGATAATTTGTATGTAACTGATACAACCGCTCGTCCTGCCATGCACAGCTGCACTCTCTGTCCCTACACGTCATTTAAGAAGTACAACGTGAAGAGTCACGTCATGATGCATCTCAACATCAAGCCTTTCTCGTGCATTTACTGTTCCTATCGGAGCGTCTTCAAGAAAGATGTTCTCAAGCACACGCGAATGAGACACCACGACGTCCTTTAAACGCGTTCGAGTCTCGCATTTTATGTCTGGCCGTCTTGTTAGTATATCTGGCCGGAATTGTAGTCGTTCTTCTTATATTTCCAGTTATTTTTCGTCACTAGGATATGTGCAAATTCGAGTGGTTGCTAAAATTGATTCTGAGAGTCGAATGGCCGCTCAATTCTCGTGTTCGGATCTATAAATTATTCTGTGATGTCGGTGGAAATAACGAGTTACGCTCAAATGATTTATCTGAAGTAATGATGGGTTATTTTGGGAGATCCGGTTCGGCTAATTTTCATGGGTAGAATCTTCATTCGCTCGCTTGCGTTCAGGCAGCATTAGTGTCTATAACGACCCGACTACGTGGACGTTGCCGAAATTGGGGGAAACGGTCTCCGTGTGAGGGAAGACGCGATGATTGCGTGCCTGATGGCTCTAAAGTACGTTGAGCTTCAGCGCTTGTTCTCTTCTCTCAGGTTGCATCGTACAGCGAAGGTCTTGGGGCACATGAACTTCAGACAACGATGACGATTTCCGAATATGCACCCGAGCTTTTAGAGCATAGTGCTGGAACTGACACAGCTACTACGCAGTCGATGCCTCGGGCTCCACAAGCTGCCTTTACTGGCCCTCCTTACCTTGTGGCGGGGCCATCTTTATACCGCTGCTTCATGTGTTCCTACTCAACTGCTTGTAAAAGTAACATGAGGCAGCATTTAAAAGTGCACACCAGTGAAAAGCCTTTCAAGTGTTGCTTGTGTCCCTACAGCACTAAGTATAAAGGGGA